GATTGTAGAAGAAGGACACATTGCGCTGAACGACGAAATGAAGTTTGCCACAAGAAAATACCGGGCGCCTTACGGACTGGAACAGGTGGAGATGAGACAGGAAGGGGAGGAGCTGGATGCAGCAGGCCCGTTGTATGTGGCCCTGACGGAATGAGATCCAACGACACTATCACCCCTATCAGTGGGCACCCCTGGAGACAAAGGAAGCGGCCCTGTAGAAGATCGGTTCAGGAGGATACTTGAGAGAAGGAGAGTCGAGTCAGGAGAAGAAAGCATGGATGAGACTCTCAGTGAGGCAGGAGAGGAGATGGAAGTGGGGAACACGCCTGAATCAAAACCAGCAGAGGAGGATTTCACCACTCAAGAACTGTTGAAAGATCTGAGCGGAGAGGACTGGGGAGACACTGCCACGCCACCTCTGACTTCATTTCCCCGCAAGAATCTAGAGTTGCCACTGACGAGCGAGACCTCCAATATGGGAATGATACTCTTGAGTGCAGAGGAAAGCGAAAAGAATACCTTCGAGGGAAACAAGACCATGTTCCTAGGGACTCTAGATGAGAACGCTTGACGAGAATTCTTGAGAGAGTTTAATCGAGAGGTGAATAGCGAGATCACACTAGACAATTTCAAAGAAGAATTTTGGAGCACGGTGGTGAAGTTCTGTGAACCTGTCCTGATGGGAACAGGTCTGGATGAAAAAGCAAGAGGAGAGCTGCTGAGCAAGACCGTCGATGAGAAAGGCGCCACTGAAGACCAAAGAAGACGAGTGTAAAGACAGCACTATTCTGAAACAAAAAACTGTCGATAAAATAATTGAAGATGTAAGGGGGGATAAGGTTGAGACTAGTCATATAATTAAAAGTACTAATATCCTTAAGGCTCGAGCAGGGGGAGGCAAGAGTTGGAAGGGTTGAATGGAGACAAAGAGGTCGAATCAGTGATGATAACGGAAACGCCCCCAAGTAAAGACGTGAAGTCTCGCAGGAGAAAGAGAGAGGTAGAAGGGTTGGGTAGTCCTTCAGCGGACGCAGTCTCAGAGAAAAACCTGAGAGAGACGGCTCCCATGGTTCTGGCACGGTGGAAGACAGCAGCCTACAAGAGTAGCTACGAACCAAGGAAATTGCTCGAGGTAGAAAGAGAGATGGAGGTTTCCACCAACTTGACAACGGAAGAAGACTTCAAGCCCAGGAGGACGAAGATGAAACGAGGTTCAACGAGCGGGCAGACGTGGGAAGTGGATGTTGGCAAAGAGTGGGTCTCAAATGAACACCAGGCCACGGGGAAGCAAGTAACTAGTGATCCTCTTGAGAAGAATAAAACGAGGAAAACCTCCCGGCCGTGGTGGGTGGCCCTGGAGACATTGAAGGAACTGGAAGACTGCCTAAAGAAACTCGACAGTGGAGTGTCACGCAAGCGATGCAACTGGGCTACCCAGCAGAAGGCTGAGATTAACAAATTAGAATTGGGGAGCCAACTTAAGAGAACTTGGCAGAACTTGTTAAGGGATCATTTTGAAGAAGCGATGAGGACAACCTCATCGGCGTCGCCGTTGATGGCGAATCCCTTCGTTAGAACAGCTGGACAACTGATGTTCGCGTGGAGCCTGGTGGGAATAGAATTAGAAAAACTGACCTCGCATGACAAGTTGAAATTGGGTGGAAAAAATCTAGAAATATATCAGACATTGATGCAACTTATTGCTAGGGATAATTCAGGCTTGCGCCTGGCAAGGAGGAAAGACGCTACTTGTTTCTTGAGGTGGATAATGTCGGTGATGACCGACAGTACCATCCTAGCATGTCAACAAAGAGCAATCGGAAGTAAGACAGTGCAAAGGAGAATCTCAGCAGTCATCTTGAATGTATACCAGAGTAGGGATAGAAAAGGAGGATGGTTCCAGGCAGTCTCTAGAGAGCCACAGGAAGTTAGACGAGATACGGAGATTCTACAACAAGAAGTTTGAGGAGGGACACGACGTACAGGGTAACTTGGCCTCGTCAGGAGAGTACTTGAAACCCAATAAGAAGGGAGAATATCAGTACATGTCTGGAGTGCAACATGTCTGGCGTACAACCCTTTCCTGGACTCGGAAGCCGGAGGCGCTCACAGGAACTACGAGGTAGCGGAGCTACTAAAGTTTTGTACAGAGAAGATAGTGGAAATAGACACAGTAGAGAGAGAGAGAGAGACCGAGCTTGGGTTTGATTCTCGAGAAAACACCAGAGGTGATAAGCGTACCGCGCTCAAGTAAGAGAGTCGAGCTGAAGATGGGTAACGGGAATGGCATGTTGGTCACGAATCTGGGAGTGGTGTGAAAATTGCTGAGGCCCACCTGATGTCCACATCCCCATGCGAGCCTGATCGAGGAAGTCACGGAACGAGTGAGGTTAGCACCGGCGGAGGACGAGGATCTGGCAACATTGAGTATAGTGCACAAGCTGACCTTGCCTCAGGTGAAGGAGTTAGGCGAAGCGACGAGTAAACTAGGGTCGGTGAAGAAAATGGAGCCGGGTAGTTGTCTTGACTCGACGTGTGGGAGTGGCGAGCACACCTGTAATGGACGGTCATGCGTTAGGATACAATCCTTCCAAAAAGAAGATCTAGTCACTTGGTTTGAAGATATCACAGAAAGGGAGAAGAATGAAGTACAGATAGTGGCTTAGTGTTACGCGAGTACCACTGTGAATATAGCAACAGCTCTGGGTTTCGTCTCAAGGATGTGCAGTCTGCAGTCACTGGTGAGGCTAGAGTCTGAACACCATTTGGTGACCGCGTTGAGCGTGGAGTCATGGCCCGGGGTGTTGCAGGTAACCCAGAAACACATCAAAAGCTGGAAGGTCGGACTTGAGGCGGAAATGGGATTTCCTATGAGCGAAGCCTATGGTCTGCCTCTAAATGCGAAATCCTTAGTGGGGTCAGTGATGGCCAACCTATGCGGCAGCCACTATCCATTGCACATGGCGATGGTGGAGGTATCCAGCCAAAGAGTATTGATAGACAAGGCCTTCTCAGTGCCCAAATGCGTAAGGTTGGCTCGGATGTCGCATCACTCACACAGTTTGTTAAGAAAAATCCGAGGAACAGTGCCGAAAGAGCAGAGGGATGACTTGAGTGAAATCTGGGGGGAATAACTTTTGGGTTTGGAGAGTGAAAACACAAGTGACCACGAGAGACAAAACGTGATCGGGAAACCGATGGGTGGTGCTCCAAACATGGAGGAAAAAGATATGATACACGAGAAGACGATGGAACTTGAACCTCTCCTAGAAACCTCGGGAGAGCGCAACCTTAGAAGTATTGACCTCACACATGAGGAATGTCCATGCCACTGTCTGGCACAAACTGTGTGGTATCCGGATCACGCAAACCTCTGCCTGGTCTGGGATGTGGAAGAAATTCGATCGATAGGATTGCCCGATCATCAGCAAAAGGTGACCATCTTGGTGGTGAGCACGATGCTGGCTCTACGATGGGTTGAGGAAAATGTGACGAAATATCGGGAGTCGAAGACGCCAACGGCCGAGTCGATATACGCGATAGATTACAGCAGGAGACTTGAGTTGTTTGAGACTGCATGCAAAGTATTCGCCATACCAATGGAGGTCAGACACGTATGGTGCCGCATAAGGTTCTTTCCTTGGTTTCGAGCGACGTTGACATCCTGGTTGTACATGGTAACGAAGGATCACATAAAAAAATATCAAAAAGAATATCGACAGTTCCTGGCCGAGATAGGACCGGAAGCTTTCAAGAGACCTCTGCTGACCCATCGAAATGCGACCACGACGGGGTGGAAAAGAGTTGGTAGGGTGTCAAGAAACAAAACCAAGGCGAGAGAGTCGATACTGGAGGAAGACTTGGCGAAGAACGTGAGCCTGAGTCTGCACAATTCCTTCTGTTTGAACCGAGAGTCGAGGGTGAAGAGTTTGCCGAACCAAGCAAAGAGATTGCGGGAGCAAAGGGAATGGATGCGGTCCTATGAACAGCTAAAAGCCTGGGAAGAGATCGTGATTAGCTCCGATGATGAAGAGGCACTGTTGAAACAGATTACGGTGTCAAATACATCTGGGCCGGGTACCTCGAAGGAGAAGAACGCGAGATGAACAGGTGGCTCAATGGGAAATTTTAGAGTCTTGAGTCTTGAGAGGGAAAGAAAGGGGCTCGAGGGTGAACTTGGATGAAATCTGGGTTCACGAAAAAGAAATTTTAACAAATGGGATATTGTTATTAATATGTTATAATTATTATATAAATCAAAATGCTGCATGACAGTTTCCTGATTGAATAGGACAAAAGAAATTTTAAATTACTAGCTTAAAAAGCAAAATTTTCATGGTGCAGGTGTGTGCAGGTTTTGATTGCAGTTTAGCGATAGTGTGAAAATTTTACATGGTTGTGAATTTTGGGGTGTAGATAAACTTAAGTCTGCTGCAAACTTCTGTAAATGACCACTGGCACTGTACCTTGAGCAATACTCGGGTTTCTGGGGATTCACTGACAGACAACAGCATGCGATGAGGACATCGATCTTGAGTCCGGGGAGTATGTGCCAGTCGGTCATATCTAGAAGTTTGACCTTGAGGAATACGAAATAATTAGTTTTGGGATGAAGTTTAAATTTTCAAAAATTCGAATTGAGCCTGTCGTGCTCAGTTTTCTCGCGACAACTGAAAACATCAGAAATAAAAACAGAACGACCAAATCGCAAGGGCGGGAAAGTGACAAAAAAACAGCGGGAAATTGCTATTCGCAATTTTCGAGATTATAATAAAACACGAGAGTAGAGCTGTCCTATCTTGATATAGGAGACAGGGTGATTACGAAAGAAGATCGAAATTCAGCTGAATCAGAGTAAACCTTCAGTGGAAAGGTAGACAACTGAAGTCTCTCAATGGTTCAGACCTAAAACTGTATTCTCAAGTTAAAACTCATTTCCTTCGATTGGAATTCATTGATAGAAAACTTCTCGAGTTATATTCAGTTATATTTATGCTAGAGTTACTACTTAGCTCAATTACTCTGATTCTCAAGTGTGCTGCTATGTAAGTACCTAATTTAATTTTCCCGAGTGTATTTTATGATAAGTATGTTGAGGTAAGGCGAGTTTTAGGTTGATCCATCTGAAATGGACCAAAGTTCCACTGTCCATTAAAAAGTAACTTAACGGATTGTTCCGACCCTGTTTTTAACGGTGTTCGTGTATTTTGGGTATTTTGAGACCTAAGTATGGGGACGTTCTTATTTTCTAGAGTGGGAGGGGTATTTTGGTAGTGGCCTTTAAGCTGTAACGGGTTCTAGTCTCATGTCGAAAGTGAACCGAATTGGCTCCGACCGTTCTGAGGTAGAAAAACACAAGAGATAGTGTCCCTGACTCCTGAGCCAATGGTTATAGGGCCTATTCTTTGGATGCACCGGTGGCGCTGCTCCAACAGCCACGCGGACGATGCAGCGATTGGCCGAAAAACTAATTGAAAAAAGACAAGAAAGCTATCCAGAATCTATAAACTACATAAGAACTAAAATAAGCTTCGCGCTCCTGAGGAGCTCTATACTTTGTATAAGGGGGTGCAGATCGCTACGCAAACTTCAATTTATCGACAACTCCATAAGCGCTATTGTAGAGGAAGGACGGCTAAGATAAATTAACATTACGACGATGCATTTAATGCTGATTTATGACTTCATTGCTGATATATATGCATTTTTATATCGCTGGTATGGGCCTATCCAGCTTGTGCACTTACCGTAACTAAACGGAAGGGCCCCTTTTGTAATTTAGTTTATCCAAAAAAAAAAATTAAGGACAGTAATGAGAAACTACTTTTGCAGAATTTTTTTGTTTGTAGAGTCAAGGGAACAAAAGCGCAGCTTTATATAAGTGTATGATAGACCCGTAGCCTCATCAGACCAGTCTTTTTGAGTCACTTTCAACTCCGGTATATTCTGTGCTGGTGTTAGTTTTCTCAATCTGGTTGGCTTGATTCCCAACCATCTGACTCCCTTTACATGTATCCACATTATACTTTACTCTTCCATATCTAGAAAATTCCGAGGGTTTTGACTGGATAATGTGATGAAAGGACCCCTGACTGTAACCTCGGTTATTATGATACTTTCGACCTTCTGATTGTTTCAAAATTCAAAAAAAAGTATATATGAACTTGTATGGTGTCATTTTAGTTAAGGATGCTGAAATGAGCAGCACTAGTGACGGAGGAACTGATATGGCGGACCAGAGCCCTGATAGAACAACAACAGACTCCTCAATATCTAGTTTTCACTCAGTTTCATTGGCAAATGGAATTCCTGAGTTTGTTCCGAGAGAGATACAACAACAGAGGCTTCAAGACCAAGCTGTCTCGATGGTCGATGCAACTGTAATGCAATCCAGTGTGTACGGAACAATGGCTGCACCTGTTGATGCTGAGGATCCAAGCCTTTATATGATTCAGGATCCGATGATGAACATGAACATTTCAGGCCAACCGCAAGTGCCAAATGGAAACGTAAGCTCTCAAATAATGCCATCATACTACAATCAGCTGAATTCAATACCTGTTGATGTTGGCTCGCGGCATAGCTCAGCTGGTGTAGTATCAGTCGTGTTTGATCACCATGAACAATTAATCTGGCAAGGCAATTCTGTTGGCCATGTCACCAGTTATTTTGGACCTCAGCTTCGGAAGTTTTCGTCCTTTCAAGTACATCAAAGTCACCCTATTAGACAAATCGAGACTGTCGAGAACGCAGTCATATCTCTGACCCAAAATGCTATGAGAGTAACCCAACGAGGAGGAATGACGCTCTTTGATTCGCCCTTTTATGACTGCGATCTACAATGTATGTTGCTCTTGGATCAGTCGAACATCTTGTTGGGTGGTCATCAAACGTCAACACTTTTCATGGATCTCAATGCGCCTCAGAATGTGACCAGAATACCCAACACGCAAAGCGATATTGTGCTCATGAGGTATTTTCTGACATTGCTAATCGCGTACCAATAATTACCCTTGCAGTAAGTTAGTGTATTGCAACCGGGTACTAGACTTTTCCCGTAAATATCTTTGTTCACCGGATCTCCAATTTAGAATATCCAATTAAAGTCAAGATGAACTTTCAGCTAATGTGTTTCCTAATTACACTTGCGAGAGAAAGTGTCTTGTAATCGGGAACTAAACTTTTCATACCGTAAACAACTTTTCTTACACATTTTCAATTGAAATTGATGTTGTTTATTATCGATTCGTAGCAACTTCCAGGCCTGTTCTCTCTTGGCCTTTGGTAATGCCGATGCATATACACCTTAAAATATGGGTAATCCCGACCGGACCTTGTTTTTTTAGTGCCTGTAAGCAGTTTTCATTGTAGTTTCAAGAGTCGTTGATTTGAAAAATTTATACCTGACTGGTATGTTTTCCGTCTTATTGTTTTTTTTGGCTTAGAAATTGTATTCGGCCTAAATGATTTAGGCGCATGTCTTATCGGTTTACTGAACTTCATTTGCATCGTTTAAAGTATAAGAAATGATTACTCTTGTTTTAACTAAATCAAGTTGGTTGATAGTATAAAATTTAAAGTTCGAACTTTTTATTCGCTCAAAATTGTTTTCCTTTGGCTATTTTAAGAGTAATGAACGTTGTGAAGACTCTTATATAGGTCTTGCTGATTTTTATTTTCAGGAAAAATCTAAAAAATTCTAATAACTACAGATGTGCATTCATACATATTGATGCATTTATGATTGCAGTTAGGTATATATGAACTTTTTGAGTTCAATTGAAATTCATCTGCTGAAAGTGGCGCAAATGGCGCGAAAAAACGTGAACGATTTCTAGTTTCGAAACTAGAATTTAATTTATAGATTCCCAGCGGAATAAAAACTTTACCTATTGATCCAGAGCTTAAAGGGTATCTAGTTTTTTCTTTAAAATTCGAAAGTTGAGATTTTTTCAAGAAAGTCAGTTTTTTTTATGTTTACTTGCGTTCATTACTCTTTTCCAATCTTTGATTGGCTATAATTGTTTTCGTATCAATGGGGGTTCTAAATAAGAGTTTTCGTCTTTGTAAACGCTCGGAAAATTTTAAAAGTTTGTTTCATGCTACTGGTTGTGTTTATTGTCTGTTTTTCTGACATTGAATTTTTCGTATATAAGTTTTTTTTCGACTTAGTTATTTCCATCTCACTGTCTATTTCGTCGCTTGAAATACTTCGCACTCGTTGTATCGTAAGTAATACAAAGCTCCACTTCGCTTCTGTGTTATGGTTGCATCGGGGTCCAGAGCTGATAAAGAAAAACTTTTTTTCGAATCTAAGTTATTTTACTGGCGTATCACTTGACACATGTTTAAGAAGTCGACATGTTAAAATGCCAATATTTCACAATTTTTTGAAATTTATTAGTGTAGTCATTGTTTTCAAATTTTTTCATCCATACGAACAATTTACGAGCGCGAATGCTTTTACTCTATAGTTTATACTTTTTTCGCCGCGCAAACTTGTAAAAGTTTTTCGCTTAAGAAAAACATTTATTTCACAAAATTTGAAAGACACTTTAGTGGAGTTCCCTTCATGGCTTTTTCAGGGGTTAAAATTCTGTTGTTCATGTATAACTGCTCAAATCCTCTTAGTTGTTGAGAGTTGATTTTTTCTGTGATAATTTCGAAAATTTTCAAAAAGCTCAAATTTAAAAATTATCTCTAAAAAATTGAAATTCTTCGCCCTCTGATGAGATAGTGTGAATATTTTCACAGGGGTGGTAGATGTGACCTTCAAAATTGGCTGCTCAATTTTTTTTAGTTTCTGAGATTTGACGTTTTAATATATTTTTTTTATAAGTAGTTCGGTTGATGTTTATTACTTAGTCACGCTGGATTAAACAATTGATGAAAGCAAATAGTATAGGTACGGGACATTGAAACCGAATAACGAAGTTAAGCAAACGGTTTCAAAACAAATCAATGCTTGTTGGTAAAAACTATCAGTTCTACGTTGTTATCAATAATTGCGCTTGCGTTATCAAATCGGAGTAGATTTTTTTCTGGTTAACAACTTGTTTAACAGAATAATTGAATCACTTGTATCTTGCCTCATAATGAATTCAACCTTCTATGCGTGTCTGACACTTAGCCTGGAGGTGGAGAATATGACTCGGATGTCCAATGTCGTGGGTTTGAATCTGACTAGCACTTTTTTCAAATTGGAAATATCCTTTCAAATAAAATGTCTGCCTCTGTTTTGTCGGCTTAGATGCCAATCGTGTAATTATTTTTAACGCAATTTTCAATGTAGTTTCTTTCAGTGTTTTGAATTACTCATGCATTTTTTTATTTCACTAGTTTGTATCATGTTCTGCTGTTTTTTGTTATTTTTTTTGCTTAAAAATTATAATCGGCTTAAATGATTTAGGCTTATTTTTATCGGCTTAGTGACCTAATTTTGTATCATTTCTTGGGAACCATAAGCTTTATGCTTCTTTCCGGATTGCACAAAATGCTGAAATTCTGAAAATGAATTTTTAATTAAAATTTCATGAAAAAAGTTGCATTATCGGTTTTGAAGACTTCGGTTTTGAAGAATTAAACTTGAAAACTTCAAGTTTAATTGGCTCAGTTGTCGCTTGTTCATTAATTTTTGAAGTTTCTTGAATTGCCGTCAATTGTGTTTCTGGATGTGTTTTCCTCAAAGAGAACTTGATTCCAAACTTTAATTTTCTTTAAGTTTTTTTCTGTGTTGCAAGTGATGTGAAGCTCAGCTTCGCCTGTGCATAGAAAGTACCGCTGTGCCACGAAATTTTTAAGATTATCAGCAATTTTTGGTATCAGCGTTTTTCGTTCTTTTTTTTTTATAGTTTAGGAAGGATCTATTATGTTCTAGAATCTGCTTAAGTTTAAAGTACAGTGGGTGTCTTTTACGTTCTCGTTAGAAAGATTTTTTTTTTCGGTTTTAAGGGTTTCGTCCTAATTTTTATTTGTTTATTTGTTCGGTGTTGTATTTCAGAAAACCTTACTTTTTAAGTTTTTACTTAATTTTTAAAATAATTTTGAGCAGCGTAAAAATATTTCATGTTTTTTGTTTTCACAAAAACTGTAATTTCTATTTTAAGTAAAGAATTGGAGTTTCTGTTACATAAAATTGAAGTTCGTAGTAATTGAAGATGCACGTAGTTCAGGCTCTTATATTGGCAATGATGATTTTTTTTTTGAGGAAAAGTCTTAAATTGCTCTAATATTTTACAGGAGTGCATTCATACATATTTATGCACGCACTAAGTTATATATCCACTGTTTGAGTTTCATTCAATAACATCTAAAGCTTAGGTAAGTTGGGTTCTCCAATTAAGAAATTTCAACATCACAAAAACGTCATCGACATCTAGTTTCAAAAGTGGAATTCAACTTTCAGAGTTCCCAGCTGAATTGATCCAGTTTTCTCAAGTTGAGTTAATTTTATCAGATGAGTATCAATCAGAAATTGTTTTTGAAATTCAAAGAGCTGTAAAAACATAATTTTTACTTTGAAACCGTACAATTGAAGATTTTGCTTTGAAACCGTACATAATTTTTGCTTTGAAACCGTACATAATTTTTGCTTTGAAACCGTACAATTGAAAGTCACTTTTTGTTGTTTATTTCCTCGCGTTCATTGATTCTTTTCCAACTGTCGGTTGTCTATGTTTTTAATTGCATGGTTTTTGATTTTTTTTTGTCAAAATTTTTGTTCGAGCAATCGAATCAAGGTGTTTGCACTGCGTGTCGTTATTTTACACTTGTAAGAACAATTTCTTGTAATAGGTGCCTAGACTTAAATTCCGAAAACAATTTTTCGTACAAATCTGTAAAAGTTTGAACTAGCTTTTTCATTGAACCTTTACAACTTCCAGGTTTCTTCCACCTTCACCTAGAAGTAACACGGTCGCCTTTAATTCTTAAGGGCCGAGGAGTCACAGTCAGAACTTGTTTTTTTTTCAGTTTGTTTGAAATTGAAAATTATTTTACGGTAAAAATTGAGTTGTCGGACTTTCGTTTGTCTCAAGTTTTGTCTGCTTGGTTGCTACATCACGGGTTTACCTTGTATTGTAAGCAGGTTTCACTGGTACAGATCACTGTCACTGTTGCATATTTTGTTCAATTTTGTTTTAGGGGCACTTCTGAAAGTTTTTTGTTTTTGAAATAATTTTTTTTTCGACTCAACTGGTATTTGGTCACAGATTGTGGGCTTTGTTTCATTTTTTTGTTGCTTATTTATCATTCAATTGTGTTGCGTGGCATGTTTTTTTGAGACATTTAAAAATTTTAGTAGATATATATTTTTTTCAACATTTTGGCGTAGTGATTACCCTCTTATAGGTCCTGGTGATTTTTTTTCAGGAACACGTCTTGAAAATATTTACACTATCATTTGATTTTTCCGTGGTTTGGCTTGATTTTTTTCAAGTTTTTTTCATTTCCTTGGTTGAAAGGAAATTTAACCCCATCATCGAACAGCGAAAGTGTAAAGGTCACGAAAAACGTGATCGAATTCTAGTTCCGAAAGTGGAATTTAATTTTCATATTTCTAAGCGAATAAAAAAATATACCTACCGATGCAGTTTTCTCAAATTGGGTTAAATTTATCAAATGGTGTCAATCATAAATTGTTCTTGAAATTTAAAAGAGTTTGAAGGCCATCTACCTTTAAATTTAAATTTCGAAAATTGAAGTTTTTCCGATAATTAGGCTGTTTTTTTTTGTTTCCTTGCGTTCATGACTCTTTTCCAACTGTCTGTTGGCTATGTTTTTTTTTCAATTTTGCTTCTGTTTAAATAGCTCCATTTTTGTGAAGAAGTCATTTTTTGATAATTTTTTGACCTGAATGCTTTTTTTGCAAACCGCTCGTCGAATTTTGTACAAGATTTCTGGTTGAAGTTTTTGAAAAAATCAGTTTTTTTTTCATGAACGGGCGTCGTTGTCTTTTTGTAATCCATTTTTATTTTAGATAGCCGAGATAAATTATCTCAATTTTGACGTGAAATTTGTTTTTGTTTCAGGTACTCTGACTCTAATTACTTTTTCGGCCACTCGAACGGTTCGATCTCAGTCATCGACCCGAACACACTCAACCCAACACACTGTCTGCAAAGTCACACTGGAAGCCTTTCTGATTTCTCTGTATCTGGAAATTCTTTGATCTCGTGTGGATTCTCAGCAGTCTCCGACCAGATGATGGCCGACTCTTTTGTGAACGTGTTCGACATTCGTAATTTCAGATTAATCTTCTCACATCAATTTAACGTGGATCCTTTCATGGTCAGATTTTTTCCGATGTATAACAATCGAGCTATGGTTTTGTCTCAGCTAGGACAGTTCCAGATCGTGGATCCGAGTGGACTGGCTATTCCAGAATCCCTGGTTCTACATAAAATCGCATTGCCTTCGCCAGATACAGTCATTACATCTTGTGACCTTTCGTCAACTTCTCATGCAATTGTGTTCGGAGACAGCTCTGGATTACTGCAACTGTACGGAGACAGCGCCGAGCCGACGTTTAATGAATTCGAAAACCCGACTGAGTTTCCGAATCCTCCTGCGACAAACATGTACGTATCTTACGACGATTACTCGGTGCCATTTTCCTCGTATCCATTGCCAATTACGGCAGCGTCCAAGCCGTTGCTGTCAGAATGGCCAGCACAACTCACAAAGCCACGTTACTATGATCCTCCAAAGATACCGGAGGAAATATCAAAGAAAATCGAATATGTTGACTTCATCGGCTATGCTCCCTATCCTATGGGCTGGGTTAGAAACCAGGTACCGTATAGGCCTCCAGAATACCTCGAGCACTTACCCGAGTCAGTGTCCAGTCGTGGTGGATCGCCTTTGGATGAAAACGGGTCGAATGCTTATCCGAGCGACTTGCCTGCTATGTATCACAAAGTTGTCTCGCCGCATATACCGGATCCGTTTCAAGAAGACTCGGCGCCTACTCATAAATCCTCAGCAATAACTATCACATCTGCGCGTTGCTTTCCCACAATCGAGAACAACTCGATCAACGGGTACGCAAGTATGCTCATGTACGCCATATCATATATCGAGCCATTAGCGGGCTATATCAGGTCGCATTTATGCAAGCGGGAACTGTGTCTAACTTGCGAGGTATCCTGTATGTTTGATACTCTGAAAGCAGCGCCTCCTGATTACTCGTTCACGCCTCACAACTTTTTGCGAGTCTTTTGTATTCTGCCCGAGACCACGGCACTAGGTCTTGTCATAAGCGAGTTTGACGACAATTTGAACTCGGCCAACTCTTATAATAAATTGCTGCAAAGTTTCAATCGGTTCTTGCTGCAGCAATTGTATCAGGACTTTCAACGAGATGAGGAAATTGTCGGAGTGCCTGGAGGAATTGAGAGTCCTTTGAAAGCTCAAAGGGAGAAAGAATTTTCACCTGATATTCTAATCAAAACTGAACCCCAATCAGATCCTGTGCCCATTCCACAGCCTGAAAGCTCAAAACTCACTCTAAGTGGTGCTATAAATAAACTAATGGGCCTAGTTACAGAACAGACATCTGTGTGCAAATGTAGTAACGAAATCAGTCGCAAATCGATTAATTTCACGACACCGCTCATTTATCCGGATCTGTTCAGCTCTGGGTCCCAACCTAAAATATATTCATTCGAAGAGGTTGTCAAGTACAGCTTAACAAACGAGTCAACGACTCAGTCTTGGTGTAATAAGTGCCACAAGTTTCAACCGACTTGTCAGAAAAAGAAAACGTTGGAGCTGCCGGAGTTACTCAGTCTGAATTGCCAACTGGATAAACCCAGAGAGACTTCATTCTGGAAGGTCCAGCAGAAACTGGCTCGAGACCCGATGTGTCAATCACAGCTGCAAGCTCCAAATACAACAGCCGGAATGTGTCGCTTCGGTAATACCTGTTCTCGGAAAGACTGCAAATTCAGACATGAAAAAGACTCAGACATTCAAAGCAATATCGACAAGTTTCTGAAGAGCGGAGTGCATGACTTTGCGTGGGCGCCTCGATTTTTGAAGATATCAACTGATACTTTTCCATCTGGGCCTGAAAATGAAGATTCAGAGACAGTTGAAGCTGTTACTAAAGAGTATGAACTTGTCGCAGCTGTGTTACATGTCCCAGCGACAACTTCACGAGGACATGTCGTCTCTAGGGTGAAAATTAACGGAAAATATTACCTGGTTAATGACACGACCGTCAATGAAATTCAGGAATGCGATTTCAACAAGTTCAATCTAAACTGGATGGTGCCTTGTGTTATGTTTTACAAAAGCATAAGTTTGTCGTCATCATTAACTGACCTTGAACTACCGAATCCTGTGAGGCGAGAGTTTCTGTCTCACGAGAGAAAACTGCTTGAAATGAACATGGGATTGAGGAAAATTTTCAATCCAATCGGCCTGAAGGAAGAGTTCTCAAGCTCGGATTTTATTGGACTAGACATGAATATAGTCTCGAATTGCAAGCAAGAAACCGATATAAACCAAGACGGAACATGTAAGCTTATTACGTCATCGGAAAGTTCCATTGTCGTGACTAGAGTTGTATGTTTCCGAGGCAGTAAATTTGACAGTTTGCCTTCAGTTCCGCTAATCGATGATCACACTCAGAGCAAAGAGACGGTCGTTGAGTACATTAACAAGCTACCAACGCTCGACATCCAGGGCGGAAAGCATTTGGCGACATTCAAGCAAACATTTCTGAAGTTGAAATACCTCGTTAGTAGGAAAGTCACGTTCATAGGTCATAATATAGAGAAGAAGCTACGGATGTTCAATTTGTATGTTCCGAAAGAGCAGATTCAAGACACCGCAGTTCTTTATCGATTGTCGAGACATAGAACGCTTTCACTGAAGTTTCTAGCTAACTATTTTGGGATCTCGTATTCTAGAAGCGACGTGCTAAGAGATTGTTTCGTATCAATGCAGCTCTACAAGTACTATCTGAAGATTACCAATGAAGGCAAAACAATGCAAGCGTTCCGAATGTCTTTGCAGGAAATCTACAATGCTGAGGCGTCAGCGAACAACAGCAATTCGAGGAACCAAAATGAAAAGAGCAGTTCGCCTCATTTGGGTCACGTGCCCGGCAGTAAGTGAAAAGAATGAATATGTACATGTCAGGTATCAAAACGAGTCTGGTTTAAACTAAGTGTACAGAAATTGGTTGAATATTAATTTGTAAATTCCAATTTGTAGTCAGCTGGGGTTTGATTACCCGCTAATGTGATCTGAAATGAGTGGATATGTCACGTGTGTCATACGTACCCTATTGATGTTGTTATACGGTTGAAGTATGACTAAACTATTTAAGTATTCGTCTTAATGTCAGCTGGGGTTAATTAGGCTGTTTGTAAACAAAGCTCATCAAGTTCAATTATTACTGATTTTCTCCCTCCGTATAAATAACTTAACGTAATTAATGGCAATCGGAATCCAGCGTGAAATTTGTAAACATTTTTGCTTGAGAAATGGAAAAGTTATCTAAATTTCCGATAATCTTAGAGTGAAGGTAACTCAAAAAGTCCTTATCTTGTAGAATGTCGACCTCACCATTGAAATAATAAGATAATTGACATAGCAATCGATCAGCGAAATTTTCACACGATGCTCCCAAACTGATAAAATAAATTGGGCTCATATGAAAAATCTCTCCCTAATTAGACAAGGTGAACAGTCCCCCTACCCCTAAAATTAAATGGGATATTCAAGTAATTAGGCCTACATGTAAATATGTGCAAATTTGATTGGCTGAAAAATATTACTTTTATGCAAGTGAGCGATCTCCTCTCTAATTTGATTCAAGAGAGAGATTGTTCTCTTGGTCCAAAAAATGAGTTTGTTTAAGTTTTTCAAAAATGGTTCCCGATTGCCAATTAAATGATCTTTAATTTATCAATATATTTCGCCATTTCCTTGCTCTTAACTCATCCGTTTATTTTTTGAATTTTCCTTCAATTTTTGTGCCACTAGTGTCAGTTTATTTGTGTGCAGTACTTAATTTATCTCGTACATTTGTCTGAAAGGCATAAAAACTGAGTGCAAAACAAGAAAAAAGATCTCTTCAGTTCAATGTTTAATGAGTTATTGAAGATCTTTCACCCATTCTTTGCGAGCTTTTGCTTCGGAACCGGTTCGATCATCTAATGTCTTTCAGACGATAATCGTGAACTACGCAATAGTTCGTCAGTTTTTGACGCGTGAACCAAATACCTAATTTATACAAAAAAGTAATATAATTTGGTCTGCGATCGAAAAGAAACAAATGATAATCTTGTAAATAGTATACGGATACAGTATCATCTATTTTGACCATAGATCCCAGTTGTATTTTGAAATGATATTCCGAAAAGTACTTAGTTTTTCCTCAGCAATCAGACATCCACTTAGAAGGTATAAATAATCATGTTAATTTATGTGCTGTTGTTCTTTGATCCGCAAACCTCTGTGAAAAAATTAACACATTAGCTGTTATTGAAAAGTTAATTTGAAATTTCAAATGAACCTTCAATGATCAAGCTAATTTTTGAGGCACCAGAAACAGTTTTTTAGCTGACCTCCTAATAAATTGCAAGAGATCAATATTGCATGTTTTTTTACACAAACGAGTTGTTATATTATGAACTCGCATTTTCCTGCATTTTCTGTAAAAGGTTTATTTTTTGACGTAGAAATAATGAAAAAAACTCCCACCCACACAGCTTCAAAACAAATCGCTAAACCTGGAAATTGCTGTCTCAAAATCATTGGCTCTTTCTAATTAATGCCCTTCCTGTCACAAAAAATTGTAGCCCCACCACAGTAGTTGTTTAGTGTTGTGGGCGAGTGGGGGGGGGGGGGGTGGTGGCTGTAAAAGGTAGGCCATTTCGGTATCGTAGTAACCGAATATCCAATGCTATGAAAAACCGAAAATGAAAGTTAGAGAATTTAGCAATAAATATATTGTTGAGTACATGCAGACTAATTAGGCCATGGAAAACATTTTTGGTCTTCATACCCAACCTTGTAAAACCACTCGTTAGACAATAAAATTGATGCTCGTGTGATGTGGGGGGAAAAGGAAAAAGAGCCTGTTTTTAAATTTCATTATTATTTCGAGAAAAGCATTATTTTGTTTTCAGATATTTTTAATATCAGCGTGTCAATTGCTAAATATAAGTACAATTATAAATAAACTTGATTAGGAAACAGTTATTTGTAAAGAAAATTTTTATAAAATTTTCGAAAAAATCTAAGTATATAAAAAAGTTCAGGCCTCACGAATGCAACTTTAAGGTAGTCTTGCTCGTACCATTAGCCATATCCATTTTTTGTTTGGAAAAAGTACTTCAAAATTTTAGCAGCTGGGTTTTTTCGAGCCTTGTGGTTTCACCTCAGAAAACACCCAAAAATCAAGTTTCCAAAAAATAAATAATTTATCTTCGTTGCTTTCTAAGATCGTTATTTTCAATTCAATAATAGATTTTGGATTTTGAAACTAGAAGAATATTATATCATTGTTAACTTATAATTTAATTGGTCTTTTTCATTGTTAATTCATGTTTTCAAGTAAAAAAAAACTAGTTCAAGATGAAGTCTATAAAAAATGAGAAAAAACTAAGAAAACTGCTAAATTTTGCTACCTGAAAAACAGAAGGATGCACACTTGGCTTTATGTATTCTTGCTTCAACACTGTACGTACATGACTTTGGAAAATAGACGTCAGTGTTTCGCTCTACGAATAAATACATGTACTTCAACTTTTTTCATAGAATACTTAAAAACATTGTCTCCCATTATCAATTCATACATAACTTTACAATGGTGTTTTTAAAACCAACTTGCTTCAAATTGTTTTATTTAAATTGCTTTTATGCTGCATATCGTTTGCAATTCAATATTGTGTGTTCGATATGCTTTATTTTGCTAATGTCGATCAGCCTACCTATTTCTAGTGATGGGAAGACATTCGACTCGTAAGCTCCAGGTCGGCATTTGATTCCTGCAAATGACATAGGTTTTGTTCTTAAAGCTTAATCTTGTCTCCTATTTTTTTTGGCTTTTTGGAGCTACTTGAGCCGTTTTGCCGCTTGTGTTCGCAAAGGGCAGCTTCGGCTCTGTGGTAATAAAGATGTCAACATAGAGTCTTCTTGAACACGTGTCTAGTGAAATGCCAATTAAGTAATATATAGACATGCTGTCGCAATCTGCTTATTTCATGAATTTTGTGTCTGTATTCCTTGTTTCACGTATCCGAATCTAACTCACTGTTGACTATAGCGTATCTGAGAAAGTTTTTCCAAGTGTCGAACTTTTTGATTTTTCGTCTTAATTCGAGCGAATGAATAAGCCTGCAATAGCCTATTTCAATGGCTTCAAAGCTTACAATACTTTGTTTTAAGCCGTAAAAAGATATTTTTCCTCGAGGATTGTTAGTTTTTCTGGGTAACTTGCACTTTTGGAATCAAAAATTCAAAAACCTGCAAAAAAATTGATTGCTTTTTACTTTTTTTTCTAGTAATTTTTCTTCAAAACTGTTTTACAATTTGCGTAATTTACTATGACTGTCGAATATAATTAAGCTCTAGTTTTCGTTAAGATCCTTCTATCACACCGCGCCGAAAAACGACCCTAGTTTGAAAAAAAAGATATGTTGTATTTTTCAAGCCTCTGGTCGGAACATTCTGTGCTACTTGCACAGTAACCGGCTATCCTTGTTTCTTTTAGAAAAGTGTTCCTAGTTGTCATGAAAGGGCCCGGATGTTTTTTTTTACAGAGGATGAAGTTGAAAAGAGGAGTCAGTCCTCATATACGCTATCGCTTGAATATTTTTTTCGTTGCATTGAATATGCTCTCATTATCTACACAGGGAAGATGATTATACCCCATCGCCAACAAAAAAAAGTGTTTTTTTAAAGAAAATTTACGGGAGCAAAAGTGAATTTCGGTACGTGACCGCTATTGGGAACGTTTGCTTGAAACTTGTTCCTTTAACCTTTTTCGATTTTTTTTGGTTTAAATTTGGAAAAAAAATTCGGCGTTTTGGGCGTCGGCATTCATTCCGCAAGTATAATTCCCTTATATATTTTTTCTGATCTTAGTCAAGTCAACATTCGATGAGCTCCTTTAAAGAAACATAAAAGAACTTCACCGGTTCAAAGTTTTTCTGGAGACTCCTGGTCAGAATTTGTAGAATTAAATACTACATTTTTTTAAGGCGAGCAATTTTCATAAATTTTTAGAAATTAGGTCAAAATCAGGGTTTAAAAGAAATTAATTGAGTTTGATTACCCTTGCGATAAGCAAGGTTATTGCAATCGGGTACTAGGCTTTTTTTCACGTAAACAACTTTGTTCACAGGACTCATCTGGACTCGTGGTACCTTGGCTCATAATGAATTAAAATTTCTTGGTGTTTCCTGCACACTTAGCCAGGAGGTAACTAATACGCTTGGGACGCCAAAGGTCTCGGGTTCGAATCTGACTAGGACCTGTTTTTTTAAACGTTAAATATTCCAGTTTAAAAAAATCGGCCTATTATTTGTCTGCATATGTTTCGTCGGCTTAGTTATTAGATCTATGAATCGTTTTTTTTGCGGTAACTTGCACTTTTGGAATCAAAAATTCAAAAACCTGCAAAAAAATTGATTGCTTTTTACTTTTTTTTCTAGTAATTTTTCTTCAAAACTGTTTTACAATTTGCGTAATTTACTATGACTGTCGAATATAATTAAGCTCTAGTTTTCGTTAAGATCCTTCTATCACACCGCGCCGAAAAACGACCCTAGTTTGAAAAAAAAGATATGTTGTATTTTTCAAGCCTCTGGTCGGAACATTCTGTGCTACTTGCACAGTAACCGGCTATCCTTGTTTCTTTTAGAAAAGTGTTCCTAGTTGTCATGAAAGGGCCCGGATGTTTTTTTTTACAGAGGATGAAGTTGAAAAGAGGAGTCAGTCCTCATATACGCTATCGCTTGAATATTTTTTTCGTTGCATTGAATATGCTCTCATTATCTACACAGGGAAGATGATTATACCCCATCGCCAACAAAAAAAAGTGTTTTTTTTTAAAGAAAATTTACGGGAGCAAAAGTGAATTTCGGTACGTGACCGCAATTGGGAACGTTTGCTTGAAACTTGTTCCTTTAACCTTTTTCGATTTTTTTTGGTTCAAATTTGGAAAAAAAATTCGGCGTTTTGGGCGTCGGCATTCATTCCGCAAGTATAATTCCCTTATATATTTTTTCTGATCTTAGTCAAGTTAACATTCGATGAGCTCCTTTAAAGAAACATAAAAGAACTTCACCGGTTCAAAGTTTTTCTGGAGACTCCTGGTCAGAATTTGTAGAATTAAATACTACATTTTTTTAAGGCGAGCAATTTTCATAAATTTTTAGAAATTAGGTCAAAATCAGGGTTTAAAAGAAATTAATTGAGTTTGATTACCCTTGCGATAAGCAAGGTTATTGCAATCGGGTACTAGGCTTTTTTTTCACGTAAACAACTTTGTTCACAGGACTCATCTGGACTCGTGGTACCTTGGCTCATAATGAATTAAAATTTCTTGGTGTTTCCTGCACACTTAGCCAGGAGGTAACTAATACGCTTGGGACGCCAAAGGTCTCGGGTTCGAATCTGACTAGGACCTGTTTTTTTAAACGTTAAATATTCCAGTTTAAAAAAATCGGCCTATTATTTGTCTGCATATGTTTCGTCGGCTTAGTTATTAGATCTATGAATCGTTTTTTTTGCGGTAAACAATGTTCATTGTAATTGCTTTAAGTTTTTTGGCGTTTTAAAAATCAGGCCGAATCGAAATTTGTGTTTAATACTGGTTGTAATTTTACCAACTCGATTTGTCAATTTTTTTTTTAATTTTTGCCTTTTTTATCGGGTTAATAAGTTTTGGCTTACTTTATATCGACCTAGTGGCCTCTTATTGCGTCTTTCCGGGGTCTAAAAAAGTTTGTGTGTGTGTGTGCTCTGAAGGGAAAAATTTATTAGCTTAGAATTTTTTTTGATTTTTTTCGACATGAAAGGTTTCTGCTCAAGTATTTTCGATTTTGTTACCACGTGATAATTATAACTTCAAATTCGATCTGGCGTAGAGGTGACATAATTTTTAGTTGACAAAAACGATTTCTTTGATTTTTTTTTCTTCAGATTTTTCCGTTTGATTTTCATCAAATTTGTATCGCAAGTGATGCGAAGCCCAGCTTCGCCTCTGTGTATTAAAAGTTTTCTTTAGCGTCAGTTTCGAATAAAAGTAATTTAATATGTTCCTGTTTGATAAAAACAAGTATTATGAAAAAGTTATCGGGATCGGGTTTTTCTATTTTTTTGAAAAATTTTTTTGAGAAGCTTTTTCAAAAAATTTGGTTTTTCTCAAAAACTGCTGTCGACTTTCAAAAAAGTGTTGGCTATGGGAAGTCCGCCCTCTACCCTCTGTGTCTGCATAATTCTGTAGGCTTTTTTTTACATTGCTACACTTTTTACAGCCTTCGAAAAAGTGTGTGGGTTGAATTTTTGAGCCATATTTTCGGATTTTTCACATTTGCTCAAAAAACTACCCTCTCAAATCTGAGATTTTGGGTTCAAAAGATCCCCTGCGTTAGTGGCTACGCCCATTTTTTTACACAAAAAGTTATGTCCCTCAGAAAAGTCAAGTTTTCGATTTTTTTGACCGTTTTTCAAATTTTTGTTTTTTTTCCTCGAAAACTACCCTCCCGAATCTGAGATAATGTTTTCAATGGTTAGAAAGAGTTGTGTGAAGCTTCCTGCATATACAGTTACGCCCAATTTTTTCATATAAAGTTTGTGACCGTCGGAAAAGCTTTTATTTCATGTCCGTTTTTTGTAACTTTTTGACTTCTCGAAAAGAAATCTATCTGATATCAAGGGTTTAATGGCAACAGGTTGTGAGAAGCCTCCGAGCATAACATGCTACGACTTAAAATTCGAACAAAAAATTTATCTTTCTGAGAAAATTTCAAAATAAAAATTTTCACTCATTTTAATAGAGCAACAACTAAGCTATTCGGAGCAGCCCAATTTTTAAATTTTCGAAAGAACCTACTTCATCCCGCATCAGTACAAATTCAAAATTTTCAAACAAGTACCTCCAGCTTTAGCTGGCCCTCTAGTGTTTTTTGTATAGTCTTTAAATATTTCTGAATGTAGGGTTTGTTTTGTGCTCTGCTTCAAGATGCTTCATAGCTGAACTTAAATCGTTTTTATTATAATGCGCACTTCGTGGAGAAACTGTTTTTTCCTCGTTTTTATCAACATTGTGTCTGAGATGAAGTTTTTTCACAAGTGATCATGTTCTCGTGTTGTGACATTACGGGACGGTTTACATAGTGAGCGACATTGAAATTATCATGTTAAGAGTAATGAACGTAGTGAAGACTCTTATATAGGTCTTGCTGATTTTTTTTTGTTTTTTTTTCCAAGAAGTCTTAAAATGCTTTAATAACTACAGATGCATTATCGCAACACATTGATGCATTTATGAATGCACTTAAATATTTATGCGTTTTTTGAGTTAATTTGAAATTCATCTGCTGAAAGGGACCTAAATAGCACTCTCCAAATACGAACGTGGAAATTGCGCGAAGAACGCGAACGATTTCTAGTTTCGAAAGTGGAATCTAATTTTTAGATTTACAGCAGAGTAAAAACTTTAGTTGTTGATCCAGTTTTCTCTAGTTGGGTTGATGTTTTTAAAAAAGCGCCAATCATAAATTGTTCTAGAAGTTCACAGAGCTTCAAGGGAATCATCTTTATTCGAATTTCGAAAGTTGAGATTTTTTAAAGCAAGTCAGTGTTTTTTTAAATGTTTACTTGCGTTCATTACTCTTTTCCAATCTTCGATTGGCTATGTTATACATTTGTTCTCTTTTTTCTTTTTGTTTCGGCGCATTCAATTGGCTGGGTTTGCGTTTTTTTTTTCAGTTGTTCTATATAAGTAGGCTTAAAAGCTGAAATATAAAACTTGAACATTGACATTGAAATTTAGTTCAAATAATTTCAAAAATCAATACATTTGATTATAAAATAGGGCTTGGAAGGGGATAGACAAAAGGCGCAATGCGCGCCTGATGAATGTTTACCCGATAGTCGATTAACGTGAGAAAAGTTCACAAGTGAATCACAAGTTCACAAGTGAAAATTGGAGCGCTTACTTGTTAGTTCTTTAAAAGACCCTTGATATATCAACAAAAGAAAAAAAATGTGAAAAAATATATGAATAGAAGTTGAAGTTCTCTACAAGTATTTTTTTCCCTTCCCTAAAAGCCCTTTGATGAAATATATGTAAAGAGATATAGAGATATAGTTTTTTTCACATTGTCATGTTTTTGGCTGGAATATTTTTTTATCGTTAAGATGCCCCGACTCGCCTCAGTGTAACTTTTTTTGGTAAAATGACAGTGTTTGGAGCATTGTATGCTACTTGGACAGAGCTGGCTATTACTTGTTCAGAAAAAATTCCTGCTTTTAATTTATTTCCTCTCTCTAGTATCTTGTGAAAACAAATCTAGACTTGATTTCACCTTTTTTTCGAAGGGAGTTTATTTTGAAGCATCGGGATGATTAAGAACGGATCCAGTTTTTGTTGTGACCACTTTACGGAGCTCGAAGAAATGTTCTGGAATTATTTCAGTTGCTTCAAAAGTTATCCAAATGGCTGTTTCAATATCGCAGTTCCGAGAGAAACAGATATTTTCCCGTTTTTTCAGCTTAATTTTTCACATGAACAGTGAAAGAGCGAGAAGTTTTGGTCTTACAATCTGATTTTTTATTTGTATTTGAATCTTTCTAAAGCTATTTTTGTCCTATTTTTGAAGCGTAGCACGATCCTCTCATACCCAAGAAAACAGTATAAAGTTTTGGACACATTAGTTATTCTATCAAGAGTACACAATAAAACCTCAATAAATTTAAGAGCTTTAAGCTACAGCTTGTCTTAATAAACTCACTTTCTGAAGTTATCCCTTATAAATCAGTAGTTTTTATTTTTTTTTTCGAGTTCAAGTAACCTTTTCGAACTATTTTTAGTTTGTTTCATCGGGTTCCTTTTATATAGGGCAAGCAAGAGTACTGATTAAAGATATGTTCACTCCCAAATACGCCAGTCTGTCCGAATTAGGGAGTGAACATATCTTTAATCAGTACTCTTGCTTGCCCTATATAATTCGCCAATGTTTTGCATTCATGCTAATTTGCGTCTGAAAACCTGCGTAACTAGTTTGCTGACAGTAATGCAAGAATAAGAAGTTAAAGTCACATTTTCGTATAGTTTTTTTTTTGAGCGTACAAGAATAAGCGTACAAGAATAAGAAGTTTGAGCGTACAAGAATAAGAAGTTAAAGTCACATTTTCGTATAGTTTTTCAGGAAAGTTTGGTTTTGTGTCTTTGGAAGATTTTAAGTTACTACGAAATGTCAGGCGTTTTCTTCTTAAGTCTATTTGCATTCAGCAGCATTTGAAAAAGCAGAGTTTGATCTGTTTTATTGTTCTGAAGCTTCTATAAATTGATGGCAATATGATTCTTTATGGGCTTGTTATTGTCAGGGTGTTAATCAGATAAAGGTATCTAGTAATTTGAAATTTTTTTTTCAGATGAGTGAGTTCCGTATAGGAGGTCTTCTGTTCACTTCCAAATTCGACTCAGGCAACTTAGCTCACGTAGAAAAGGTTCAACAAAGTTCAATCAACACCTTATCGGGTGGAGACCACGAGTATGTTTCATCCAACCCAACCTCATCTAACAACACAAACAACCCCGGTTCGAATCCTACAGGGACCGCCGGAGATCAGACGTCGCCATTGCGTAATGCGCCTCAGCAGCACCCATCAGGCGGTGCATTCTCGAGCACCGTGCCAGACCTGGAAGTGAACTGCTGGACCAGAAGGGACGCTGCTGGAACCGAGTTCGAAAATGGAAATAGGTCCGTAGAGTGTTTTTAGAAGTCTAACGTAAATGGTGTCTAACTTATCCGAGGTCTTGCAATAATATCATCAGGCGTACGAAAGCAGCAGCCGCATAGTTAACCAGATAAAACATGGAATTCCGGACGATTTTTGTTATGTTCTGTTTGTGCGAGTTAAATAACCTTCAGTTTGTTGTGAATGATATTAAAATTTAAAATCATTTTCGAGTAGCATCAAACATTTATTTTTTTGGCAATATGACAGGCTAGTTTTTTAAAATTGTAATTTGATTCTGCATTTATCTGAATCCTCAAAATGCACTCTGATCGTCTTCCGCTTAAAGCCATTGCATTCATATTTCTATTTTTCGGGTTTTTTGAATAAGGTGACAATCCACATTCGATCAAAATGGGGGGACTGTTCGCAACTAGTGACGAGTAGTAGTTTCTCGTAAATTTTCGAATCAAAAATTTGTCAAAATTAAACAGTTCTGCTGGATTAAGGTCCTTGGTTTTGTTGTATTATAGGACCTGGTTCTACTTTGCAGTGAAGGGTGCGCCTTCGGGAAAGTATGTGAAGATGAACATGATGAATCTGAACAGACAGTTCCGACTGTTCCAGCAGGGCATGTGTCCAGTCTACAGAGTGCTGCCACAGAAGCCAAACTGGGACAGAATCAGAGAGAAACCAACATACATGGTGAGTCTATCTAGCCTGTACAGGAAATTGGACCCTACTCTATTTTTGAAATATCCAATTTCACCAAGATGATCGGGTGTTCAAAGTACTTGAGGTCTTTCCTCTTGTAAATGTTATCTAAGCTTACGCTAGGAACGCGTTTGCTCATTTTAATTAACGTTTTATTACCATTGCGATAAGCTAGGGTATTGCAACAGGGTACTTTTTTTCTCGTAAATAACTAGCGTGGTTGGAGTATATGAACTGCATATGTGTTGTGGGTGAACGCTGAGTATTGCCAAGTAACTTTTATCTGTGCCGAAAGTTTTTGGTAAATTTTCGGCACAGTTTGGTCCGCTTAGTATCTTTCGGTTTATTTTCCTAATGTTTTTATTCCATTATTTTTCGTGGCTTTTGTATTTCAGCGGTTTAAATCTAACGCGATTTTTTTTGAAAAACCACAAGCCATCGAAAGAAAACTTGAAAAAAAACTAAGCTTTACAAATTCTTTTTATAATTTTAAAATCATTTTTCGGGTTTTGAGTTCGTTTATTAACGTTAGTCGCTAACATTGTAATACTACAAAAAACTTGAAATATTTGCTCACCTTACCTCAAAGTATATCAAGCTTGAAGTAACAGTTTGGCCTGTTTAGTTTGCAGGTAACCTTCATGCTTGAGATGACAAATATATTGGGTTCGATACTGGCCAGGAGCTGATTTTGTGATAAAATCGTTTTTTTTTTGGGAGATAATTAAATACCGGACTTTGTTTGTCAGCTTCCGTAACAAATCATTCAATTTTCTTCTGGCTGAATCAAATTTTGTAAGAATTGACAGACCTTCCGATTAGTTCCTGTAATTTACAAATTTTATTTTGTATCAATCATTTTTTGTCTTAACGTTTTTCTGTTGAAAGTTTTATTCGGATTAAATGGTTTCGGCAAATGGGATATCGATTAAGTCACTTTATATGAGGTGATTTCATTGGCAAAAGAGATTTTAATCTAACCCGTTAAAAATTTTTCAATGTCTTCAACAACAGACAGCGTATTTTTAAGCAAGTAGCTGCAAAAACCAGCCCCATTGCTCCCAAAGAACTTCGTGGCTGGTATCATAGTCGCATTGCTATTGCTAGTAACATGAATAGAAAGGAACCCCGGAACTGAAGCTTGTACTGTTCACACTCATCAATTCAAAAGGCTTCAGTATAGGTGTGGTGTCACTACGGTGGCTGGGAACACCTCGAATGTACCACAAGCGTATCCGTTAATCACTGGAATAGCAATTTTGTGTGTGGAGCCTGCACTTGGCGCCGACCACCTGATATACACATTTCACAACATGTTCCCACCAAAGAAACAACAAGTTCCAATATCCTCCAGTTCGATGTCAACGGATTAAGAAATAAAATTGACGGAGTCATACACTTCATGAAAACGAACTACATCAAAATAGCGTTAAAAGACCCTCCTGGGTATCAAGAAGTGACTACCAACTGCCCTAAGGAGCCTAGCGAAGGCGGATGTCTTGAGTTCATCACATCATCGATGAAAACGTTAAGTTTCGCTAATTCAACCTATCCTCACTAACCATATCAGACAACCATACTGACCAGCAATGGGTATTCAAATTAAATCACGCAACTCATTTCTCAACCTGATAAACATACTTTCCAAAAAACTCAAGCTACCCCACAGGCTGTACGGCTTCCGTAAAACACTTATTAGACCTGAAATTGTTTCTAGTTGTCGGTGAATTTAACGCACACAATGAGCTCTGGTGCTCTCTTATAAAACCAAGTCAAAGAGGGGATACACTTGAAATCGAAATTTGATATTTAAACTTCAGTCTTAATTGAGAAAATTTAAAAGCAGAGAAACGCACCAGCAATAATTTCAGGGAAGTAGGCTGTAATTGGTTGAGATTCACTGAGGAAACCAATGTGTTTTTAAAAGCGCGAATCTCAGGCAATGTTCTCAAGAATCAAAAAGGTTACAGAGATATCAGCGACAAAATTGCAATACAGTATATCCCACATGGCCTCATATCTGAAATGACCACTAACCGTCCTGGAGAGGCACAAACATTTATGCTTTAAAAAGACTACTTAAGAAAAGAACACCCATGTCGCCCCAACATCACAGCCCTCAGTCACAAAATAAATATTATAATACAGGACAAAAAGCGCTCAAAATGGATTTCATTCCGAGAAACGTGTGACCACCGAGTACAGTTGACTGTACTCGGTGGTCACATGTTTCTCGGAATGAAATCTATTTTTAGCGCTTATTGTCTTGTATTATATGTCAAATTTATGGTCAAAATTATGGTCAATTTTCAAATCATCTTTCCAAAAAAATCCACCAAAGAAATCTAACCACCAACAGTTTTCAATGATGGACCACGAATGCATGATAAAGTATGCGCCAAGCGCTTCAAGTAACAGTACACCCCATAAATTGACAAAGAAAAAAGAAATAATCTGCTTAAAATAATAAAGTTCACTTCAAAGTTACTAACTTCACCGCTGAAGAAGTAAAAACTGCAATTAGAAAGTGAAAAGGGCAATGCTCTGGTCCGGATAAATCTTTGCTACCTTGAACTGCTCGGCATAACAGACATCACCTACGTCGTTAACGTATCACTAAATAACGCAATAATCGCACATAACTGGAAGGCCGGTTCAAGTATCCCACTACATTAGAAGGATGTCTCGTTGTTTAAAAAGTGTTATAAACAGTATAATTTTCAACTTGATTTAAACAGGTTTTTTAGGGTCCAAGTGTTAATTAACAATTGAAAAAAATTGGAAACCTGTTGACATTTCGCATCTATTAAACTTATTTGAATTTTGTTAATCTATTTTTATTGTTTATTTCGCTGAACCTGTAATTTTTTCCATCTGCCCGTGCAATTATTTCTCACATGCTCGCACTGCAATTGACGTTTTTACACGTGAAGCTGGCATTTGAAGAGGGCTATAAGACCGTATCAGCCATGGCTTGGTGGAAAAGTGGAGAAAAACTTGGATATGATAAAGATTTTTTGGAATACGCTGGTACTCTTTGGTTAACGCAATTCCGTCCACCGTCGGCTTGTAACGATAATTTTCAACAATGGGTCCAACCGATAGCAAACTTCGAAGCTCTCTTGCAATCGAAAAGGCCGGAAAAATGCCTTTCCTGTTCAAACAGTTGATGTTTTCACTGTGAAAACCCATATTTAACAAAAAAATCTGTTCATTAACATGTTGTTTTCGAATATTTTACATTTGAACAGTTAAAAAAGTCCTAACGACAAATTTTACAGCCCTGCCACATTAACCAGGTAAAGATACCGACGCAACTTGTAGATAAAGTCCCATTGCACTGCTATCTCCCGTAGCGAAACGAATATAAAGACTACTCCTACCGAAACTGACTCAATGCGTTGAACTGTCTAACCATCAGCATGGCTGCAGAAAAGCACGGTCGACAGTAGCGTTCGTAACTTTTATCAACTGCACACTAACTAACTAAAATAACTGAGGGCCTTAACAAAGGGAAACCGTGTCATACAATGTTACTTGTGGCTTTAGATCTTGCCGCCGTATTTGATACGGTTAAGCAGCGAGCTCGTCCGACTGACATATTTAGTACCTTCATCATTAACAACCTAAAACGATGGCTGCTGTCATATTTACAAGTCCGCTTTTACGTCAAGTTAAGAAGTCAGGCATCAAGCAAGCATAAAGTTAATTAAGTCCCACAGGGTGCTGTTCTTTCACCGGCTCTCTTCAACCTGTTTATGTGCTCCGTGCCACAACCTACTGAAAACTTTAAAATGTTCATCTATGCAGATGATATTTCTTTTCTCATGTTTGGGTCCAATGCATCGGTACTACACATTACTACCCGTCCCTATGAACACCAATATGCAAAAACTACAAACATGGCTCAGATAGACATCTAAATCTTTTGATGATAACTCAATGGCTAGATTATTTACCACAGTCTGCTTAAGTGGATTTCGAAACTAAGGTTGATATTGGGGGCTATCGCCTAAAAACCAAAATCATCCAAAAATCCTAGAATACTGTGTGCCACATTTGATTACATGCTTAATTTCGAAGCGCACCCACAAAATATCTGTTCACGAGTACAATCAGGGAATAATGTGCTTAGAAAAATAGCCGGTACCAAATGGGGATGCACGAAAAAGACCTTGTCGACATCTTACTAGGCCATCAGTCATAGTGTTATGAACTACGCGGAAACAATATGGCCAACTATTCTCAGTGCTACTAACAGAAATAAGCTGCAAGTGGAACAAACTGACGCGCTGAGAACTGTCACCGGCTGTGTAAAAATGACAAATGTAGACCACCTGAACAATGAAAAAGGTTCTCTCGATGCGTGAACACGAAATGTTCTCAAAACAGTTCCTCCTTGCAGTCACCTTCCCGGTCGAGCGGATCATGAAACAACAGTAGGTAGCAATATGATAGCACTCAAACCAACACCGCAAAATTTCTTTCATCCCAGAAACAGTGCAAACAAGTCCTACATATTGTAAAAAAAAAACCTAAAACATCTCAGTATTAAGACAGTTGAAGATATCACCGAAAACTACCCTAACAAAGTACTCAGCTTAAATCTGCTGAACTTGACGTTAGTGAAAGTAAGATTGATCGTGACGCCTGGTGAAAACTTGCTCAGCTCCGATTAGGGAACTCTCCTCTACTGAATAAATACCGGAGTCGGTTAGACAGTAAAATCCCTAATATTTGTGCAATCTCAATTCAAGGCCCTCATGATATCAATTTTTTATTTTACTGTCGAGGACGACCGTCAGATTTAGAAGTCCTCAGTCATTGGACTGACCCCTTTCATTGTAGCTGATTTGATTACCTCCAGCTCATGTAGCACGATGGAGCGGGAGAGCTGAACTTCTTTCAAAAAATAATTTGCTTGTCGGAAGATGCTGGCTTCACAACAGCACAACAAAGCGAGAGACCTATTTAGACGACGTCCATTGTCAAAATAATCTTTAAGTAACCCTCAAATGTGTTATGTCCTAAATACCCCGTCGGGGCCAATGACACCGGACTGTGGACGAGTCGAAGCAACCACAAATAAACCCTCCTCTCCTCCGGAGATGAAGATTATCATAGAAAAACGAAACCCGCTGCCTATGAAAGAAACGGGTCACACTAACAAGCTTCCCCAAGTTTTTGGGTTGCAGTGTTTTCATGCCGTTTGTTTTCTGTTCGCAAATTTCATTTAGCATTCATCTCTCTCTCTCTCTCTCTCTCTCTCTGTCTCTCCGTTACGTCTCGTTCGAGACCTAAATGCCTTTTCCGGAACTAGTCAGGTCTTTGAGGCCCCACTAGTATGTTCTCCATTGGACTTATCAGTGGACAGCCTCTGGAGAGCCTGATAGATTTCCTTCGCCAGGATTTGGATGTAGTCCGTGGCTGAATGCACCCCATCGTTCTTGTGTATATGGGCTTTCGAGAACCGTCGGTATTTGTGGAACTCACATTTCGCCTTCTTTGCTATCTTTTCGTTTTGCCTGTTGATCTTCTTGATTTCTTCTTCGCGGTGCCTCCTCCTACTTGAAAGCCTTCGTTCTTATACATTTCCACTAGATCCTTCATTTTGTCACTGAACTCCTCTGGCTGATGTCTGATGTGTTGAGCCGTCTCTCCGTGCAATGTTGTTTGTCCCGCCGAGAATTGCGATTTTCCTAATTCCTAGGCGACTAAAATTGTCCATTATCTTCCTCTCGGACAGTTGCTGAATCTGTGCACCGGGACAAGTCACAACCTTCGCGTTCTTGATAATTTTTTAAATTCCCATATTTAATTGAATCGCCCAGAACAATGGAATTCGAGATGGTCTGTGGTTTCCGTGGTGATCTCCTCACGGTATGCTTTGTCCCCTCTTCTCGCTGGAGCTTTATTCACACCCTCCTTGGATGCTAAGTCCTCTTCCAGCCTCCTCGTCCTCCCACCTCTATCGCTCCTGCCCTTTAGCATTCATCTTCATTACCACTATTACCATCATCATAGTGCTTCTACTCTCCTCTTTTATTCGAAGGTGGTCCCGATAACTTCATATCACAAAAGTTGCTGATGTCCATGGTTTTGTTATTTTCCCGTGGTTGCTGCAATTTATCAAACATCCTTCTCTCTCAATAGTTTTAAGACCACAAAAGAGACCTAAAGCGGACTTGTTGAAGCGTTTTAGGTCGTAAGCAATTATCGGTTCTTGTCATAGATCTGATTCTATCTTCTGCTAAATTTAATCTTGTTAAAACAATCTATAAACCGAAGTATCAGTCATACCAGCAAAGAGTTACGAAGTCTTCTATTTTAATTTGTCTTTTTTTTCAGCCAAAAGCTATTTCAGACACGCCAAAGGGCAACCGGAACTTGCATGACTGTATCCTGATGCCAGTAGTCTTGGTCATAGTAGAGTATGGATTAAAGTAGGTTTTCCTCCCACCTCGCAAATTTATTAATTTTGTTGTAATCCAGGTTTTTGCTATGTTGAGCATGAAGAGCAATTATGTTTGAATTACATTTAGTCGAATTTAATTACAATTGGAATATATTGACGGAAGTTATATAAAGAGAATCACAGGAGAAAGGAAAACAAGATCAGCGGTGTTTTAATGGTTACGACAACTGACTCTTGAGCTTTTTTTTGTATCTGTGAAGAGCAGCTTCGCCTCTCTCTGTGTCATTATACTGCTCTAGATTCATTTTTTCACCTGCAACTTCGTGGAAATTCTTCATGTTTAGAGAACGAATGTTTTCTGTTTTAAGTGCTTCCTCTTGTTCTTAATTGTTGAAATTTGGTTGTTTTTTCTTTCAGCGATTAGTTGTTATTTTATTCACAAAAAGCGGTTTCAATTTTGCAGTCTTTTGAAGTGCACTAGAAGCGCTAAATGTTTGTCCCCTCTTCTCGCTGGTGCTTTATTCACACCCTCCTTGGATGCTAAGTCCTCTTCCAGCCTCCTCGTCCTCCCACCTCTATCGGTCCTGCCCTTTAGCATTCATCTTCATTACCACTATTACCATCGTCATAGTGCTTCTACTCTCCTCTTTTATTCGAAGGTGGTCCCGATAACTTCATATCACAAAAGTTGCTGATGTCCATGGTTTTGTTATTTTCCCGTGGTTGCTGCAATTTATCAAACATCCTTCTCTCTCAATAGTTTTAAGACCACAAAAGAGACCGAAAGCGGACTTCTTGAAGCGTTTTAGGTCGTAAGCAATTATCGGTTCTTGTCATAGATCTGATTCTACCTTCTGCTAAATTTAATCGTGTTAAAACGATCTATAAACCGAAGTATCAATCATACCAGCAAAGAGTTACGAAGTCTTCTATTTTAATTTGTCTTTTTTTCAGCCAAAAGCTATTTCAGACACGCCAAAGGGCAACCGGAACTTGCATGACTGTATCCTGATGCCAGTAGTTTTGGTCATAGTAGAGTATGGATGAAAGTAGGTTTTCCTCCCACGCAAATTTATTAATTTTGTTGTAATCCAGGGTTTTGCTATGTTGAGCATGAAGAGCAATTATGTTTGGATTACATTTAGTCGAATTTAATTACAATTGGAATATATTGACGGAAGTTATATAAAGAGAATCACAGGAGAAAGGAAAACAAGATCAGCGGTGTTTTAATGGTTACGACAACTGACTCTTGAGCTTTTTTTTGTATCTGTGAAGAGCAGCTTCGCCTCTCTCTGTGTCATTATACTGCTCTAGATTCATTTTTTCACCTGCAACTTCGTGGAAATTCTTCATGTTTAGAGAACGAATGTTTTCTGTTTTAAGTGCTTCCTCTTGTTCTTAATTGTTGAAAATTGGTTGTTTTTTCTTTCAGCGATTAGTTGTTATTTTATTCACAAAAAGCGGTTTCAATTTTGCATTCTTTTGAAGTGCACTAGAAGCGCTAAATGTGTATTTACTTTTTTCTTCCCTCGTCGCATTTTAATCAAATTTTTACCAATGAATTAATGCAGAATTTTGAAATCGAAGTTGATGCGGCATATTTAAACTCGGAGAAATGCTGCTGTTGAGCTTATAGCGGAAATAAAACAAACCAAGTGGTTGAAGCTATCGCTATTTTCGGTGCTCCTGTGTTAGTATTTAACTGAGCATTTCCTAAGCACTTATAGATAATTACCAGCTACATCGTTCATTTTCGATATTGCAGTTAATGGTGTTTTTTCTACCTCTGAATGTTCTCTCAAAAATAATGATAGCATCAAACTAAAACGCAATGCAATACCTTTGGTTGAACATAATGCAGTTGCTCATGGAATTTGTCCAAGGAAAAAACAATTTACATGTAATTGATGTTTGGGTAAAACAGTAAAGCAATTTTGATGAAAATAATATGGTAGTTGTTGAAGTTTTTATTGCCAAAGGTTTGCTAGTTTTATCACCCGCGGTCAACAGTCAAGCTCTTTTCTCTCAGCTCGTTTTAAAGCTCTTAGCGCACCCCCCCCCCCAAAAAAAAAAAAAACCTGCGATTTTTCAAAAGTAATTTATCTGTTCACATTTCACATTGTCCGATTGCTTAAAAATTGGCATGCGGACTATTTAGGCTATGACAAACATAATTGGTCTTTATACCCAACCTTGTAAAACTCTTCGTTACACCAGAAATTTGATGCTTATGTATGCTTATGTGAGGTGGGGGAGCGGGAAGGAAACTGAGCCAGTTTAAATTCCAAGTCAGAATTTTTAATTGATCAGACAGAACAGAGTTATTTATCACTTAATCTGTTTTTCTGCTTTGTACGCTGTGATGAAAACCGAGAAGTTCTAGAATATCTGCCTAGCTTGATATCCAAATTTGTTTTTAAATAAGTTTAAAAAATTTGCATCGGAAGCAGAAAGTTCATACATTGCTAATTCACAATTAGATGGTACAGTTTTAGCCTAGCCGATGTTGATTCAGAATTCAGCTGCCAATTTTGAAAACTGAAGTGTATCCTGAAAAAAAAACGATTTAACATTGAGTTAATTTTTAAACTCTTTCTTTGCTGCGTGATTTCTTTCGACTTTTCCTGTGTTGGCTGCTCTCCATTTTATTCTGCTGACTCTTTTTCATAGAAGGCGAAAACCACCAGCGATCCTCTTGTTGATTCGCTATCGACTGCTTCCACGGTAGGAAGTGAGCAGGGCATCTTATCTGATGAGTAACGGTTAGATTTGCCGCCTTCTCTCTCAGATAAGCTGCCGCAGCCGAAACAGTCCAAAAAATTGACGTACTGGCTTTTAAAAACAATTGTCATTCGAGACTGTTTTCGGACTGTTTAAATAAAGTTCGACTGAGCAAATACGTGGTGGCTTTTGAAAATTGTTCTTGCGCTGCAATAATTCTAAATTTGTTCATGGTTAAGAATGTTGTTTAGGATGGTTTTGACCTTAAAAGTGCGTTTTTTGCGAATGATTACCACTACAATAACTCTGCAGTTGCGTCAAAGGCCCCTTTAAAAAACATGTGTCAATCGGCTGCAAATGGCTGACTTAAAATAGTATCCAAGGAGGACCCTATTGGCGGTAAAGAGATCGAATCCCTAAGGAAAAGATTGTCCGCCCCACCCCTCCCTAAACAAATTTGTCCCTGGCTAAGATGTGGTCCTGTGTTTAGAACGTGGACGAGTATGACTTCATGATCTCGTTCTGCCACCGATTTGAGCACAAGAACAGCACAGTAGAGTTCGCCTTCTGCTTCCCCTTCTCCTACTCTGAGTACCAGAAGTGGATGACCCAATTGGACACACAGTTTGCACCCTGTCACGACAACCCACCAATCACTACACGGTAACAGCTGAATGTTCTTGCTGGTTGTCGCATCTCTGCAGAATTAAATAAAAATTTCTAGATCATTCATCATAATCATTTCATCAAAATTTTGTATCGTTTCTGGTTTTCAACGAGGATAATAAATGTTTATTTTGCTGAGTCGGTTTTAATTTTGCTCAATTTCTCAAAAAAATTGTGTTCAGTAATTACGGAATGTTCTAAAATAGAAATCGCACTAGTAGATTTGCCAAGTTAATCCGCTGGTAATAATGTGGAAAGACGAATGCCGGTTTAATTCATCAAAGTATGTATGCTGAAGCTTTTGCAATGATTTGATGTACATATTTAGCTAATTGTTTAAATGAAAATAGTTTCCTTTAAATCGTTTCGTGTTCGTGCAGGGAGTCTACGCCGGATGCCATCTACTACCACAGAGAACTGGCCATCAAGTCTCTGGATGGAAACAGAGTTGATCTGATAACTATCTCTAGTTATGATGGAATCTGCGAGGAGAGAGAGCATGATGTTCCCTGTCTATTTCCAGACACCAGTATGAACAGTCCCAGGCCGTACAGATTTAGACACAAAAAGGTATTCATGGAATGAATAGTCTATCTGCGCTTGATTCATGCGTAATATCACGCCTTTAGTCATAATAACACGTAAAAAAACTATGAAAAAGGAATGAAAACTTGAAAAAAGGAAATGGAGAAGATCCATAAATTTTTGTTAAAATTTAATGTTTTCATTTTTACACCTGCGAAAGCCAGTGTCGTGTTATCGGCGGGAACTAGACTTTTTTCCCGTAAAGAACTTTTTTATAAAATCCTGGTTTCTTCGCACTTGATCTAAAGTTAAAGCCGTCACCTTTGCATTTAAAAGTTTCTTACGGTTCGCTTGTGAATCCCGGCCGGAAATTGTTTTTTTTTCTAGCATGTATGAAAATTGTTTTCTGGTAAAAATTGATTGGACTTTCATTTATTTGCTCTAGTTTTGTCGGCTTAGTTGCCACATACCGGATTTTTCTTATGCTGTAAACAAGTATCGTGGCATTTTTTTCATTGTAGTTTCAGGGGGACCTTGAAACTTTGTAATGTTTTTTTTTATAAAATCATTTTTTTTCGGCTCCACTGGTGTCTTCTCAAAGATGGTCGGTTTTGTGTACGCTTCGTAAGTTGTGTTCCGTTGATAAATCAAAACTCAAAATTATTGCTTGGCATATTGCCTAGAATTTGCCTAGGAAAGCTTGTGTGATAGTATGAATTCTTTTTTTCCCAACCTAAGTCGCAAGTATTAGTGTTTATTTGCAAGTGTTGCTTTTGACCAATAACCAGCTATTAATGCAGCCAATGCTAAGGATATTAACACAGAGTATTATATTACAAATAGAATTTTAGCTACAAGGTATCATGGATCTGTAGCGTAGAGGTAGGGAAGGAGACCCGCAACAAAATAAGAGGGTTCAAACCTGGGCAGGGTCGGATGTTTTAATGAACTTTTTCGTATACTAGTTAAAATGAGTCCGCTCTATAAATTGAAGCAGGTTAGTTGGTAATTTCTTTTTTTTAAAGTGACTTGTACTGCTAATGCGTCATAATTGGCTTGCATCACTTAGCAATTATGTAGACTCATAATTGGCGTGCGCCAGAAGTTTTATAGACTCAGTTTTACTCATTCAGTTTTTTCCAGTAGCGTTATCGGTCATATTTCTGCTTGTGTATGCGAAGTGCAACTTCGTCTCTTGGTAAAAAATAGTTATTATGAAAATGTATGGGATTGGTTGTTTTTGGGACGCTTTGAAAAAGTTTTCACTTTTTGTAAAAATTTTAGTTTTTCTTGAAAACTATTCCACCGATATTCAAAAAAACAGGGTATAAATGGAAAGACCGCACACTTTCCTGTGTCTTTATACTACCGTAGTCTCTTTGAACTTTACACGTCTTTCTACAGTCTTCGAAAATGTCTGTGGGAGAGTATTTGATTCATATTTCAGATTTTTAAACGTTTTCTCAAAAACTACCCTCCCAAATCTGAGATTTTGGACTTTGGTTTCATTAAATAGAACGGGTGTTTCCCTCTGTGTTAAAAAGTGGTATCAGTAGGATATGATTAAATAGTTATTAACAAAGATAAAGTACAGTTCAGCTCAATGACAGTTTTAATCGCAGGCGTTTTTCTTAAGCTGATTGACTGGTTTTAAAACTTTTCGGAAAAGATACTCTGTTGGTATACGATTCATTGGATTTAAACCTAGTAATTTATACAGGATGTGGTATTGGATAGTGGATGCGACATTTAACCTATTTGGTTTCGTATATTTTTTCCGCTAGCATCTACGTTCCCGTGCAATTTTATTAACGTTTAATTTAAGATCTGAATGATCTTTCCCTAAATTATTTACCGCAAAATGTTTACCGCGAAAGATCTACCGCATAAATCTGATAGCAAAAAAAGTTAAATAAACGCTTGAACTAAATTGTTATCAAAGTGTTATTTAGATTCTATAACAAGTCTTATAAGCATGCTGGATATATTTTTTGTGGTGAATTTAATTTTTTGAGAAGTGCGTCGTTGTTTTCTAGCGAAAGGCAGTTAACCATTTTTGACGATGCTAAAAATGACAATTATATCTGTTATGCATTCTTTTCAAAATAACTAATATGTTTCAGGTGTTCTTCCTGTCCAGTCGTGTTCATCCAGGTGAGACGCCTGCCAGCTTCGTGTTTAATGGTTTCCTCAAGTTCATCCTCAGACCAGATGATCCCCGTGCAATAGCACTCCGACGCTTGTTCGTGTTCAAACTCATGCCCATGCTCAACCCAGACGGAGTTATGAATGGACACTACAGGACCGACTCACGGGGTTAGATTTTCAAGATTAAAAATTTTTGATCCAAGTTGGCATCCTCATCATCCGCCATAAAGCATTTTTTTTGGGGGGGGGGGGGTATGTTAACGTGATCCAATTTTTTCTTACTTATGGATGCTAGTTTGTTTTTGCGGCGTTAATTGACCAATTATAAAGATTTTAAGTTAAAACGGAGATGATTCGATTTTGAAACGAGAGGTAGCTCATTCGAAAAGCAATTTGCTGTTCTGAGAAAGATTAAGTATTAAGTAACTCAGATTTTTAAAAAGCAGGCATGAGTCTAGGCAAAAATTCAATATTTATTTTTTTTTGCGATGAAAAATCAAAATAATCTATAATTCCTAGAAGCTCTCAGGACCTTTTCGAAACTCCAAACTATTTAACATTCTAGCAAGCAAACAGAATGTTGTTATAGGTGTGAACTTAAACCGAGTCTACTTGAACCCTGACTTGACTTACCATTCGCCGATCTACGCCGCCAGACAGATCTTATTCTACCACCATGTGTTCAACGCAGTCGCCAATCCCACAGATTCCCGCGGGAGGCATACGAGTGGAAGTGACAAGGAGAACGGAACAGGAATGATTCCCACATCGGCAGGCAGTGGGGGCAGTAGTGGTAGCGGAGATGGGAGAAAGTGTCCGTGTATCGTGGGTAAAGGGAAATCTGCTCTTTGCTGTCGTAGTGGTAAGTCAAAGCAGTTGCATTAGTCTTAGCGTGATGCGCTTTATTGAAGCTGCCTGATAGTTACTATTCACGCCAGTGAGCTTGCGAGCTTAGTGTATTTGTATGAACCTTCTTATTTCCAACCTACCTCGCAAATAAAGTGCTCATTTGGTGGCACTTTTGATTTAATCACGAGCTGTAGCATTAGGACTTTCATAGCATCTGTTGTCTGCTTGAACTGTGGCTACTGTTTGCTGATGGTTAAACGTCCGTGGCTGAGAAGCCTGGGAGTGTTATTCGTAATCGTCAGGTGGAAGGATCGAATCTGTCATGTGAAAGAATTTTTTCCTACTTATTCTAGGCCGTTTTTTACTGTTTATTATTTCATTTTATAGAGCTGCTTTTTGTCATGTTCTCGCATGTGCTTGCGAAGCGCAGCTTCTCTGTGTAATAAATATATGAAAATAGCTTAATCAGCGAGCAAAAGATGAGTGGCTGCAGTAAATTTTGACCGGAAGTTTCGCGGTTGAAATCCCGTAGTCTACCAAAGCTAAAAAGTGCCTTTACCTTTTTGACTGTTTTTGTCGCTAGCGTTTTCAAAGTGCAGCTGCGCTTCTGAGTTGAAATAAATCAACTTTTTTGTAAGGAAAACTTATTAGTTTCCAAGTTAAGCTTAGTACAAACAAATTTGAGAGGTTGTCAAAAGGCAATTGCACGTCAATGTGACGCCTCTGAGCAAATGTTTACTGCTTCGAAACAGTCTGGTCTGTAAAAAACTTTCCGTGTTATTGACCAAAAAAGCGTAGATGTTTAATAGCATTTAACGAGCAAATTATATGTATAAGTTACATATATTATTTTATGTATGTCATAGTCTAAGTTCTGTGATGTACTCCTAATAACAAAGAAAAACAAAAAGAAATAATCAAAATAAATGAACAAAGTTTTGATTGTCTTGAATATAAACATTCTTGAACTTGTGCAGCATCTTGTTTTATTCAAATGTGTCTTTATTAATTAATGAGACCAGCTATTAAACTTCTGTCATTTTTGCGGGAAAATTGAAAAAAAAAAAACAGTTACTGTATAAGCTCATCTTCTACTAGTACTGGAAATTATGTTCAAAGTTCTCAAATTTTAAATTTTTTTGATCCATACAAAACTTCTCCCAGTTCAACTATAAAAGAGCTTTTTTTTAATACATGGATTTTTTCATTCATAATTTCAACAAGAGTTTTTTTATCATTTCCTAAGTATGTAATTCTCTAATTGTGTAAAACTTGTTTTTGTTTATGTTAAAGTTCAAAGTGTTCGTTCGCTATGAAAAAAAAACCTTAGCTTTCGATTTTGAAACTTGTCCTAAGCCGCTTTATTTTCTAGCCCATTAAGCAAAACACCTGGCTGTATAACTGGTTCATTGAAAGACTTATAAAGACGAATAATGGTACCATGTTCAATATAATTTTTTGTAGTAATATATTTTTGATGATAGACTGGCCTCTTTGTTGCGTAAGTATGGGACGTGGTTTTTACAATAATATTTGCGAGAGCAAGTGTCCTTTATTTGGGAACTAATTTTTTTTTGCCGTTAACAACTTTTCTTAGTAATTTTAATTGTTTTTCTTATTAGCTTTTTATTGAAGCTTAACAAGTTCGAGGCTCGTTCTTATTTGACCTAGAGGTAACACCATCGGCTTTTCACACAAAGATCAGGGGTTCGGAGCTTGTTTTTTTGTTGTCGGAGCTTGTTTTTTTGTATGCAACTGAAAATAATTCCGATAAATATTGATTTGTCACTTTCGTTTGTTGGCTTAGTTGCTACATTAGGGATTTTGCTTATGCTGTAATGATCAAGTGTTTTTCATTATAGTTTCAGGGTTGGGACTTCAAACTTTTAAAAAAATCGGATTAACTGCTGTCTGCTTAAGATTGTCGGCTTCGATGCGACATCACGGACTTTTCTTGGGCTGTAAGTAAGATTCGTTGTAACTGCAAGTGCAAGTGTTGTGCTTTTTTGTTCTGCTCAAAAATTTTTGTCTCGTTTCCTCTTCGTAAGTTTTGTTCCGTTGCTAATTTAACATTCAATGTCTGGCATATTTGCCTAGAATGGACTTCTATCTAGGCATACGAAATTTTTAGTAGACCTAGTTTTTTTAAATATATTTTTTCGACTTCTGTTTTTTTGTTTGTATTGTATCGCAAATGATGCGACGCTCCGCTTTGCCTCTGTTTTTAAGTTTCTATCTAAATTTACTTCTAATTAATTCATTTCTGAATTAATTTCAGCTTTGTCATCCATGGACACCAGAAAATTTACGTGTTTGTTTCCCAAGCTAATAACTTCGCTCTTTTTACCGTCAAATAGCAACAAAATAGGACCCAAAAATGAATTCTGATATAAATAACTACATGCAATTCTGCTAGATAGATCACTCGAAATTTGGGGATTTTTTTTTCGTTCGAAAATTTGTTACTGGTCATTCAATTGTCCGTAAGTGTTGGTATCATCATAAACCATTGTGACATCACATTTTTTGCAAGTATTTGCTAGATCATTAGCATAAATCAGCAACAAAGTAGGACCCAAAAATGAACTCTGTGGGGTTCCCTAATATAAGTTTTGAGTCTGAATTTTGGTTATGAATTTGGATATATTGTGTTCTCTTTTTAAGATACCGACTGAAATAAGTCAGCCATGAGTCTTTTCGAATCAATTGAAATTTTTGTTTGCAATGATCGACTGTGTCAAACCTTTGATAAATCAATTAAAACAGTATGCCGTTGGAGTTTTTTTGTTAAAACAGGCATTAATGACTTCAACCACATATTTGATTGCATCAATTTTACTCTCTTTGCTTCGGTATCAGAAATGTTTCAATTTTAAAATGTTGAAATTTTTGTAGGAAAGAAGTTATGCGATGGCATATTATCTTCCAAATATCTTACTTAAATTGGCAGCAAAGATAACGGTCTGTAATTTCCGCATTTAAGTTTCTCTCCAAATTTGAAAAATGTATTTCGTTAGCAACCTACAATTCGTCAAAAAAATATATGTTAAAATTATCTAGAAACGCTCTTTTGGTCGGATTAATTTTTTTGAATACTTAATTGCTTAAGTCATTAAAGTTCAAAGATGTTTTTTTTTGAATATTTGCTACTGTATTTAAAATTTTGTTAGTAGATCTAGTTTTTTTAAATAGTTTTTTTCGACTTCTGTTTTTTGTTTGTATTGTATCGCAAATGATGCGACGCTCCGCTTTGCCTCTGTTTCTAGGTTTCCGTCTAAAATTACTCCTTAATACTTCATTTCGGAATTAATTTCAGCTTTGTATCATCCATTGACACCAGAAAATTTACGTGTTTGTTTTCAAACCAAATAACTTCGCTTTTTTTACCATCAAAATTACATACAATCCTGCTAGATAGATCACTCGAAATTTGAGGATTTTTTTTCACTCGAAGTTTCGTTACTGGTCATTCATTTGTCCGTAAATGTTGGTATCATCATAAACCGTTGTGACATCACATTTTTTGCAAGTATTTGATAGATCATTAGCATAAATCAGCAACAAAACAGGACCCAAAAATGAACTCTGTGGGGTTCCCTAATTTAAATTTTGTGTCTGAATTTTGGTTATCAATTTGGATATATTGTGTTCTCTTTTTAAGATACCGAATGTAATAAGTCAGCAATGAGTCTTTTCAAATCAATTGAAATTTGTGTTTGCAATGATCGACTGTATCAAATCCTCGATAAATTAATTAAAACAGCATGCCGTTGGAGTTTCTTGTTAAAACAGGCATTAATAATTTCAACCACATATTTGATTGTATCAATTTTACTCTTTTTGCTTCGGTACCAGAAATGTTTCAATTTTAAAATGTTGAATGTTTTGTAGGAAAGAAGTTATGCGATGGCATATTATCTTCCAAATATCTTACTTAAGTTGGCAGCAAAGATAACGGTCTGTAATTTCCGCATTTTAATTTCTCTCAGAATTTGAAAATTGTATGTCGTGAGCAACCTACAATTCGTCAAAAAATACATGTTAAATTTATCTGGAAACGCTTTTTTGATCGGAATAGTTTTTTTGAATACAGAATTTTTTAGGTCATTTAAATTCAAAGATTTTTTTTTGAACATTTGATTTTGTATAAAAAAACTTTTTGTAGACCTAGTTTTATTCTCAAATGTTTTTTTTTCGACTTCTGTGTCTTGTTTGTATTGTATCCCAAATGATGCGACGCTCCGCTTTGCCTCTGTTTCTAGGTTTCCGTCTAAAATTACTCCTAATTACTTCATTTCGGAATTAATTACAGCTTTGTGTCATCCATTGACACCAGAAAATTAACGTGTTTGTTTCCCAAGCTAATAAATTTGCTCTTTTTACCGTCAAATAGCAACAAAATAGGACCCAAAAATGAATTCTGTGGGGTTCCGTTAATTTAGGTTTTGAGTCAGAATTTTGGTTATCAAGTTGGATATATTGTGTTCTCTTTTTAAGATACCGACTGTAATAAGTCAGCAATGAGTCTTTTCAAATCAATTGAAATTTTTGTTTTCAATGATCTACTGTATCAAACCCTCGATAGATCAGTTAAAACAGCATGCTGTTGGAGTTTTTTTTGTTAAAACAGGCATTCATTACTTCAACAACATATTTGATTGCATCATTTTTACTCTTTTTGCTTCGGTACCAGAAATGTTTCATTTTTAAAATGTTGAATGTTTTGTAGGAAAGAAGTTATGCGATGGCATATTATCTTCCAAATATCTTACTTAAGTTGGCAGCAAAGATAAAGGTCTGTAATTTCGGCATTTTAATTTCTCTCCAAATTTGAAAAATTTATGTCGTGAGCAACCTACAATTCGTCAAAAAATATATGTTAAATTTATCTTGAAACGCTCTTTTGGTCGGAATAATTTTTTTGAATACATAATTCCTGAGGTCATTAAAATTCAAAGATATATTTTTTGAATATTTGCTATTGTATTCAAAACTTTTCATTAGACCTAGTTTTTTTCTTAAATGTTTTTTTTCGACTTCTGTGTATTGTTTGTATTGTATCGCAAATGATGCGACGCTCCGCTTTGCCTCTGTTTTTAAGTTTCCGTCTAAAATTACTACTAAATACTTCATTTCAGAATTAATTTCAGCTTTGTGTCATCCATTGACACCAGAAAATTTACGTGTTTGTTTCCCAAGCTAATAACTTCGCTTTTTTTACCGTCAAATAGCAACAAAATAGGACCCAAAAATTAATTCTGTGGGGTTCCCTTAATTTAGGTTTTGAGTCTGAATTTTGGTTATCAATTTGGATATATTGTGTTCTCTTTTTAAGATACCGACTGTAATAATCCAGCAATGAGTCTTTTCAAATCAATTGAAATTTTTGTTTGCAATGATCGACTGTATCAAACCCTTGATAGATCAATTAAGACGGCATGCCGTTGGAGTTTTTTGTTAAAACAGGCATTAATAAATTCAACCAAATATTTGATGGCATCAATTTTACTCTTTTTGCTTCGGTACCAGTAATGTTTCAAATTTAAAATGTTGAAATTTTTGTAGGAAAGAAGTTATGCGATGGCATATTATCTTCCAAATATCTTACTTAAATTGGCAGCAAAGATAACGGTCTGTAATTTCCGCTTTTTAATTTCTCTCCAAATTTGAAAACTGTATGTCGTAAGCAACCTACAATTCGTCAAAAAATATATGTTAAAATTATCTAGAAACGCTCTTTTGGTCGGATTAATTTTTTTGAATACATAATTCCTTAGGTCATTAAAATTCAAAGATGTTTTGTTTTGAATATTTGCTATTGTATTAAAAACTTCACATCCAGTTTTTGGTCTCAAAACTATTGATTTTTAAATAAAAATTAAGAAAATGTTTGAAAGAAAATTATATAATTGATTGGGTTCTCTCCACTTTTTACTTTCGATATTTGTCCCATCAATATCTTTTGCTGGAGAGATAAGTGCCTTTGACTGATTTTTTTGATCGTTTAGTTTTGATCTCATGTTAGATTTTTCGATTTTCTGAAGGAGGAATATCTGGCAAAATTTTTCGTTTGTGTTTTCTAGGTACTGTTTTAATAGACCTTTTTCTTCGATTTTTTTACCTTGATATTTATGTTAAAGACAATTCCTCGACATTTGCAAGGGAAACATCAATCCAGGTATTCGTCGATGTGGTTTGCCTTGCGGCTACGTTTGTTAATTCCAACTCTAGACCTTGTTTTTATAGTGTTTTTCAGCAGTATTCATTCTACTATGATTAATTTTTGTCTTCTGGAAAATTGATGTTCAGGTCACCGCATAATCATGCTTATATCTCATTTGAGTCTTTTTTTTCTTGTCATATCTTCTCGTAAGCTGGTAAGCTTCTTATGTTCCTGTAAAACATCTGAGTCTCTCCAATGCCAAAATTAGGCGTTCGGTAAATGGTTGAAAAAGGTAATGATCAAATTTTATGAGCAATTTGCGGGCTGGTGGTTCGTTCGTTTGAGCTAAAATTTTGTAATTTATTGTATTTTTGACGTATTATTCGACTCCACCACCTCGGACTTTCTTATTTGCCATAACTAGTTAATAGAGGTTTGATTAGAGGAACACCTCTTTTTTATTCCATTCTGATGCAAGTCTCAGTTACTCCAATACTTCGGGTTTTGAGGCAAGCTACTATCAAAAGTTTCCAAGTCTTGAACATGACTGTTTGCTGATCTGATGTTTTGTTGAAAGATTGAGGTCATCATTACTTACTAGCTTGTCTGTATCATAGCCCTTCAACGAGCGTTCCGCTAAGCTTTTTGTAACAGTTTTTTTCATGATTTGCCATGCAGTTGTTTTGAAACATTTTGTGGACATTTTTGCAATTGATCGAAATTATTTCAAATTTTAACATTCCCAGTAACTTTTGGATTGAACTTGGGTTATGCAACATAGGGAATCGAAGTTCAAACAATTTTTTTGGATCGAAGTTTTTTCTGTTTTGCATTGTGACCGATACCGCGGAAATCAAAGCAAACGATAAGTGACATTTAAAGATCAAAAATAATCTTGTTTGCAATCACGGAAATCGCAGTAAACATGAAAGAAAGAAGCAGTTAGCATGAAAGGGTTTGTACGATGATTTTGTTGAAACCAGCTACCGCATAAATCACAGTAACTTGCTACTAGCCAATCTAAACTGCTTTACCAAATACAAAGAAAAAAAACTAGTTTTCGAATTTTTAAAGGAAATTATTTGTTTAATTTTTTTCATTTTGTCTTTGGTCAAAAACTGAGCAAAAAGAGAGAAAACAAGCATAGCTCAAAACCAAAATCACTAAAACATTGAACTTTTATTCGGGAACCATTTTTGCTTGTATTCTAAGCACACTTTTGTTTCAGCCAAAATATTTGCATCAACGAATTTAGCGAACAGCTTTAGCACAAATTGATTTTCAAATCACTCTTCATTTTTTGCTTTGTAGCCATATCCCAAGTTCTTTTAACCCTTTTCATCCTCGCCCGTATTGATTTTATCCAGAAAAGCTTTTTCATACGCAGGAGAAATTGACGCATACAAACGCATAGTCCGTTCTTCGTCTGTTAAAACACTTTTGTTGTTAGCGTTTCGAGATTGATAGTTCGGCTGTTTTACATTTCCATTGCCACGTCTCTCCTTTTTTTTGATTTTTTCAAATTATCCTTATCTTTTTCGTTTTCAAATTTTACAAAATTGGCCGATCCGTTTCGGCTTTCGCAAAGAATCGATATGGAGCAATTATGCGTTCTAGTTGTCAAATCAGGTTTGATAACTGCATCCATTGCTTTGGAGTTGTTTTTTCACCCATGTCTTTTTTTTCTGTTGAAATGATGTTTTTCTACGACTGTTTCAAATGTCGCCTCTTTCGAAACACCACATTCTTATCATCAAAGTATACGAATTTAATGATAATCGAGGGAAAACTTCAGCGTTTTTTTTCCAAGCTTTCAAACGATTTGCTGATAATATATTCCCAAAATATTTCTCAGTAACTCGTCATTTTGCTGGTTCTCATCAATACTAAATTACCGGCTGGTTTTTTTTCAATACTAAATTACGTTTATCGTTCTTGCTCTCGTAGCCTATTATCAATCTCGTTACAAAAATCTTGCAAATTTTCATTTTTTGAAAAAAGTTCCTGTTTCTATCGCATCCGTTATGATTGTACTCAAAACCCTTCTTGTTGGTCCGTCAATCATTGCATCCACCATCTCCTTACGCTGATCCATAGAGTCCATGATAGTCTTTGAAAAATAAAGATTTCAAAGTAACAATATAAGGAATAAAATAAACAGACGAAAGTTGCGTTTCAAATTGTTTACCGAATGTTTTTGTTTGTGTGAATTCAGGTTTAAAAAGAATCATATGCTGGAATTGTTCAAATGTTCTTAGACATAATTTTTTGAGGAGTCTATAGTATTGAGTTTGTAGTTTACGGCTTCGATTTGCAAAAGTTCAAGATTTGTTTGTTTGTTTGTTTGCTGTTTTTATTTCGGTCGATTTCAAAAACAAAACATGAAAAAAACGGCTAAAATGGCCTTAAGAAGTATCAATTCAGAAAAGCGACTGTTTTTTGGTCAGTTTTTTATTTTTTTTCTGTCTTGGTTAAATAAGTCAGCAAGTGCAATTGTATGTTTTGCAGATCCACCGATTTCGAAGATGGATGATCTCGAGTTCCTGTCCAGTATCGGGAACAAAAGTAGTGGAATAGCTTATTACGTGGACTTACATGGACATGCTTCTAAGAGGGGATGTTTCATGTATGGAAATCATATGGAGAACATGGCTGATCACGTATGTAGTTTTGCTACCGTTGCTTAACTTAGTCATTTGTTTCAAAATTCGCAATGGTTAGTTGATTGCAAAAACATCTGAAATTTACGTTCAAACTGTTAATGCTTTGCGTATGATCATGAGGTTCGCTAAATTATGATCATGAGGGTCGTTATACACTGATGTTGCGTCTCTAAGATTTTCTGTGAATTCATAGAACTTTTCCTGTAATTTTTCATTAAAAGTATAATGTAAAAAGGAGTAACATAGTAAGTTTCTTATAATGTTTTCCAGGTTGAGAATCTACTGTACCCAAAACTCATTTCTCTCAACTCTGCTCACTTCGACTTCGGAGCATGCAACTTCACAGAGAAGAACATGTACATGAAAGACAAACGAGACGGTGCTTCGAAAGAAGGCGCAGGTCGAGTGGCCATGTTTAAGATACTCGGACTGACTCATAGTTATACACTGGAGTGCAATTATAATACGGGCAGACAGACTAACTGTATAGCGTCTGCGGCTAATGATGACGGGAGGGCAACTCCTCCGCCGCCAGTGGCATTTCCGCCCAGATATGGAATTTGTCATTATGAGGATGTGAGTAGAATGGGGCGTCGTGATACAATAGAATGTTCTCGTGATTGGGGCAAAATATGCTTTGTTTTCACTAACCCCACATGGTTGATTTTGAGAAAAGGTTTTGTGGCGGTTTTGATTTTTAATGAAATTTTCTGTAAGCTTGCCTCAAAAAAAATCTTGCTGACTGCGTTGCTCATTTTGTTTTGCTAAAATTTAGGTTTTTGCAACGTCATTCTAGTGAAACTTCCGCCTACGCCTTAATCATTGTAGGCATCATTTGTTGCATTCAAGAATATTGATTTTGGTTTGTAGGTTGGCAAGGCAGTTGCAATTGCGGCCCTGGATATGATGGGAATGAATCCCTGGTCCAGGATAGCGATGAGTGAGTTTATGAATGTGCACGCGTGCAGACTGTGGGTGCACAGATTTGTCCAGGGTCTCTACAATGGACCTGGGGTCCCACGGAAGACCAACATAAAAAACAGTGGACCTAAGCCCATGGCACAGTGAGTTGACTTGGTTTTTTTAAATTTATTACATAATTGAATCTTATTTTTTCCAATTTAAATCGCATATTTTTGTGTTCAGGTTCTGTGCTTAATTTCAGTGTACAGTTTAGCTTATATTTGGTAATTTCAAGTATCACGAGCTTCATCCGCTTAATTAAAGCGCATTAATTACTGCTTGCTCGAATCTAGTAGTTTCCGAAGCTTTTCGTGACTTATTTTCTGTCATTTTTTTTGCATTTTTGAATTTTGAAGAGTTGCTATTTTTCCGCTTGTTCGGTAGTTCTTGCTGAAATCTATCAAACTTACGCTGGAATTCAGTTATATTTTAAATTATTTTTGCTTGCTGAACATAGATTTTTAATTCGGTATAATTCACCAAGAACACGATGATAAAGTTAACGCAATATTTTTACCTGCTGAATAACCTCGATTATGCAAAAAGGAAAATATTTTTTGTAGATCCTAGTATAACATCAGCATTTCTAGGAATGTACTAGTTTGACCTTGACAAGGTGAGAAGAGTTCGGCAGGCTCTATAGTGCGCTGAATGTAATCATTTAATGAATCATAGTTTGGTCTGGTTTATAGGAAGAGCCAATCTGCACGTTCGGAAAGAAACTCGTAAGATGCTCGTCTTCTACCCAGAAATTTTCTGTTTTTATCTCATTCTTTGTCTTTACATTTGTTCCATACACAATATGGAGTGCAGTTTATTTAAATGTTTACCAGCTGGACTTCAATCAATTGAACCTGTGGCTGCGACGATATAATTTGTCAAAATTGATATGGGAATTGTCGGAAAAGAACTTGCTGATAGCAGAAACTCAAATGGAGGGATACAGTTTTTACACTTGCGAAGCGAGTGTATTAGTACGGACCTCCTTTTTTTCAAAATATTGGTGCCACTCTTAGGGCACCGTTACAGTTTTTCTATAGCATGGGCTTTGACAATCGAATAGTAATAAGTTAGCACAGTTGATGCATTTTTGATTCATCAGTTGAACCGAAAAAATTATTTGTTTCAAACAGCAGTACAATGATTAAAAGCTCGATAATAGAAATTTTCCAACTCAATGTATCTCACAATTTTTTGAAAAGCATAAATTTACAAAATGTGGTTTTATGCTTTGCGATGTGTTACATGCAAAGTTAGTGTGGATGCCTTCAGTTTGTTATAATCCAAATTATTACTTGCAAATTTGAGTCTATTTGTATTTGGTGAAACTTTTGATGATTTGCTATGGCTATTTCTAAGCATTCGTAGCTGCTTCATTCGTGACTTGTCTTTGTCGGTTGATAAGCTTGCGTGACTGAGTGGATAGTGCGTAAGACTCAAAATCTCATGATTGATGTAGGTCGCAGATCGAATCCTAGACCTAGCCGAGTTTTTGCTAATTCGAGGCTTATTTCTAGTTTTTCTTATTGGACTTTCTAGAGCTGCTTTTCGGTCGTCGGGTCATATGCACTAAACGGCCCAAATTCAATATTACTGCATCTCTTGAACTGAAATTATTGTGGATGAATTTGATTGGCTAATTAGCCAATCAAGTTCCATCTACATTTTCTGCCATTTCAATTGAAATTTCAAGCAGATTATTAGTTGTAGACGAAATGATAAAGAAAATTGAATTTTGTTTTGTCGAGCCATTTTACTAAATTTTGCTTGTCTGGGCAAGGTTTTACAAGTGACTCAAAATAAGTTTGATAATTTAACTCAAAGTTCCACCTTTTTCGGCTGATATTTTTATCTGCTAGAAAAGTTGATTGGAATGCCTGACCGTATAACTTGAATTTGATTGGCTAAAATTACCCAATCAAATTTGATCGCATAATTTCCAGCTTACGATGAAGAAAAATTGATTTTGGGCCGTTTTGTGCATAAGACCCCGGTCGTCTTATCTCAAGTGTTTGCGAAGCGCAGCTTCGCCTCTGTGTAAAAATTATGAAATAGGCTGTCATAAATATTCCAAATTTTGTTTGATTTCCATCAATTACGGTAGAGATATATGTATGCTTTATCACGGTGTAAAACATAAATGTTCTTCAAAAGCTCTTAGTAAAATTTGCTGCAATTCCAGCAACTATTTGTGTAAAGTTTGCTGCAATTCCAGCAACTATTTGTGTAAAATTTGCTGACATTCCAGTAACTAGTAGTGTAAAATTTACTGCCATTTCAGCAACTATTTTGTAAAATTTATTGCCATTTCAGCAACTATTTGTCTCACCTGGACAAGGAAGACGTGCAGAGTGGAGTGTCTTCCATCCTCTCTCGCAACAGATTCCCCCTCAGGAACAACAGACAGATGCAAAGGGAAGCACAACTTCAGAACCAGACCACTGCATCCAGGTAGTGTTCCTCTGATCAAATCCATCTACGTTGCATCTCTGAAATATTAAGGACATGAGTTCCAAGGTTCAATATGCAACTTTTAATGATATTTGTCATTTCAGTCTAAAAGAACGAAATAATTTTCTCTTATATAGGTCTTAAAATGTTCTAACAGTCTTGAAATACCTATAGAAGTGCATTCAAGAATGTTGTATTTATGAATCAACTTTGGTATATATCCGCTTTTTGAATTTAATTCAAGTTCATCTGCTAAAAGTTAAGTAAATTACGGAGCGAAAAATTGTGAAAGACGTTAACTTTCGAAAGTGTGTTTGAATTTTGAAATTTCCGAGCGGAATAAAAAATTTACCCATTAATCCGCTTTTTCTATATTGGGTTAGTTTTCTCAAAAAGTGTCAAAAATAAATATATATTTTCCTTCGGATCAAATTTTTTCTTTTCAATCAATTTTTTTTTGATATACATCCTTCTGTTGGCTATGTTTCGCAATTTTATTTTATTTTTCAGATTATTTCCTAAGAAAATGACGGAATATTTGTGCTCGAGGCGGATTTTTTTCTTTATACAATTTTCGATATTTTAACTAGCAATTAAAAATCCTAGAAATCGTTTCAAATTGGATTGAGGCATGCTCTTTGGTATATTTAATAATTTGCTATATGCAGATATAGCACTCGTACTTTATATTCAAAAATGATATTTTTTTTATCTTGACTTTTCATTTTTTTTTGAAAATTCCAATTATTTACGCATTTAGTTTTTTATTACGCAATTTTTTTTCTAAGGTCAGTCGCAAAAAAGAGCTAATTTGGTGGCGTTTTTGGTATATTTCAATTTAAGCCTATTCAAGCATAGGCAATTTCATAGCATATGTTTTTGCTTTATTTTTGGCTAGTGTGAGTTCATGTTTGAAAAACAGATGATATGAAAATGTATGGGATTTGTTGTTTTTTGTAACGATTTGGAAAATTTTTGCAATTTTTCTCGGAAATCGCAAAAATGGTACTAATGGACTAACCACTTGCTCATCTATGTGCCTACTCAGTTAGTCGCTTTTCATTTCTATGGCTTTTGAATGTTTCAATAGTGGGATTTTTGGCCTATTTCTTTGGAAGTTTTTCATTTTCTCAAATATTAAAGTCGCAAATTTGAGATGAAATTTCAATCAAAAGAACAAATTATGGGGATCTACCCTTCTCGAGCGGTTATTCCCTAATTTCGGTTGAAAAAAATTATGGCCCTTAACAAGCCCATTTTCGAGATTTTGATTAATTTTCAAAACTTCGACTTTTCTCAAAAACTACCTGCTAAATCGGAGATTAAGAGTTTAACCGGACCGGGAAAAAAATCAATTATGCGCATCTTAAATGCGCAAGATGTTATGCCCTGCGTTTTGAAAAAAAAAATTGGGCCGTAGAAAATGTCCAATTTTTGAAATGTTGCCCGTTTTTTTGGAAAGTTATTTTTTTTTTCAAAAACCAAACTGCTGATTCTGAGGTTATTAGTTCATTGAAACTAACATGGTGCTTAAGTTTTCTCTGCGTAATCTGTTATAACCTTTTTTTTGTAGAAAAGCTGATATGGACTTCGGAAAAATTCACTGTTTTTTTTATAGAAGTTTCGTCACTTTTTGAAAACTACAAGCTAAATCGGATATAAAGGGTTCAATCTAAAAAGTCAGGGGGCGGAAGTATTCAATCTTAAAATCAGGGAGTGGAAATTGGAGGCTATTCTTTGGCTTTAGTAGAGAAAGTTTCACGGATTTAGGATTTAAGTCAAATTTTTGAATTTTAGATAGATGTTTAGAATCTTTTTCTTCTTTTTTTTCGAAAACTACGGAGCCAAATGTGAGATAAAGACTTCAATTGAAAGATCGAGTTGTAGTTTTCTCTTTTAAATGAGTGATTACTCACCTATATAAGCAGAGAAACACAAGGATTTAACGTAAAGTCCATTGTTTAATTACGCATTTCCGTATCAGTATGAAATATGATGAAAAATATTAGAACAGGTAGATCCAGCATTAGCTGCGCCACTAAATTACATCCGCGCGACCGTGGGGTAGATGCGAGGATGAGGATGTTGTATTCGTAATCAACAGGTCGGAGATTCAAATCCGGAACCTTGAAATAGTTTTTTTGCCCGAGTTTTTGCTGCGAATTTTTACTGGTGGCTAGTGTTAATAAATTTACAAGCGGTCGTAGAGCAGATGCGATAATGCGATACCCAAATCTCAAAATTGATGTCCAAAACTTTTTAAGGTGTATTTTCATTCTTTTTTTCTTTTTCCTTAATCCACTTTTTCTGTGTTTAATTTAAACTACTCCATGGAACTTAAAATGCAGTCGGAACATTCAGCGCGCTTCGCCCGATACGAGCAGTGTGGTTCACTTTGAAGTCCTTTGCTAAATGGAAATCAACTAAAACAATTACACTCTCAAATAAGTAAATTGCAACTGGCCCGAAAAAAAAACATTTGGCTTTTAGTTTCAAACGTGCACCTCAGTGTCTAGGTTCGCAATTCTAGGAATGAAAAAGTTGACTTTAGATTGGGCTTCAGATGGGTTGGTTTCATGAATGATTGTCAATTATAGAAGATTTTTTTTTGCATTCAAAAAGCCTCTGAGGCCATATTTTCTTTTCTTTAAAAATGATTCAAAAGTAATCCAGTCATTGTCCGGTTTTCTGGAGTTCATTGACACTTTTTCAGCCTAATTTTCACTTTTTATAGATCAGTGGATTGAATATAGACCAGCGAAGGTAGTAAGCTAGTTATAGTAGTTTTAAGTGATGGCATTGCTTAAGTAAACAGTTCGCGGCAATAAAAGGTCTGTGTTCATTTTTGAATTTTAGATAGATGTTTAGAATCTTTTTCTTTTTTTCGAAAACTACGGAGCCAAATGTGAGATAAAGACTTCAATTGAAAGATCGAGTTGTAGTTTTCTCCTTTCAAATGAGTGATTAGTCGCCTATATAAGCAGAGAAACACAAGGATTTAACGTAAAGTCCATTGTTTAATTACGCATTTCCGTATCAGTATGAAATATGATGAAAAATATTAGAACAGGTAGATCCAGCATTAGCTGCGCCACTAAATTACATCCGCGCGACCGTGGGGTAGATGCGAGGATGGGGATGTTGTACTCGTAATCAACAGGTCGGATATTCAAATCCGGAACCTTGAAATAGTTTTTTTGCCCGAGTTTTTGCTGCGAATTTTTACTGGTGGCTAGTGTTAATAAATTTACAAGCGGTGGTAGAGCAGATGCGATAATGTGATACCCCAAATCTCAAAATTGATGTCCAAAACTTTTTAAGGTGTATTTTCATTCTTTTATCTTTTTCCTTAATCCACTTTTTCTGTGTTTAATTTAAACTACTCCATGGAACTTAAAATGCAGTCGGAACATTCAGCGCGCTTCGCCCGATACGAGCAGTGTGGTTCACTTTGAAGTCCTTTGCTAAATGGAAATCAACTAAAACAATTACACTCTCAAATAAGTAAATTGCAACTGGCCCGAAAAAAAAACATTTGGCTTTTAGTTTCAAACGTGCACCTCAGTGTCTAGGTTCGCAATTCTAGGAATGAAAAAGTTGACTTTAGATTGGGCTTCAGATGGGTTGGTTTCATGAATGATTGTCAATTATAGAAGATTTTTTTTGCATTCAAAAAGCCTCTGAGGCCATATTTTCTTTTCTTTAAAAATGATTCAAAAGTAATCCAGTCATTGTCCGGTTTTCTGGAGTTCATTGACACTTTTTCAGCCTAATTTTCACTTTTTATAGATCAGTGGATTGAATATAGACCAGCGAAGGTAGTAAGCTAGTTATAGTAGTTTTAAGTGATGGCATTGCTTAAGTAAACAGTTCGCGGCAATAAAAGGTCTCTGTTCATTTTTCGAATTATATGCTATTTTGTTTCAGCGTATCTGTTGCTGACCCTGGAGTTGGAGGAGGGAGCAACTATGTGTCGAGTAGTAATGTGAATTCTGGTAATTCTTATGCGACACGCGGCGCAAGTGCAGCTGGAGGAAATACTTCAGGCACTACAGGGCCTCAGGTCTCTAAGAATTTGGGACCGATCAGAGGTTAGCTTATGTATTGCTTCGTTTGTGAATGACGGAACTGAACATTCCCTTAAGTATGTAGTTTAAGGTGAATGTCTTATTATAGTTGGCATCCGCCCAGTTTTCCTTGTAGGAATTTTTGCCTATGTTCTTAGGTTGGGTCAAAATTGATTGAACATTGCGTTTTGCTACTAAAGGAATTTATTACCAATTTTTTTTTATGATTTGATCTTCACTGTTCGTTTGTGATTTAATATGTTATGTATCTATCTACACACATAGTGCAAACTTTTTATCTGATACAAATACCCGTTTGAATTTGCTTTAAATGTGGTAATGAGTTTTTTTTTTAGAAAACAAGGCTTTCCAAATGCGGAGACAGCGCCTTCTGCAAATTACAAGAACAAATCCACAAGGGGCAAATGCAAACAACACTTCGAATTCGGCTGGCAATGCTGGTGGATCTTCGTCGTCTAGCAGTAATAATCATAGCAATACTGCCAACAATCGTAGAGGCAGTCAAGATGCAAATAATAACGCAGCATCAATGTCGTCAACGCCCAACCACTTCATATACCAGGTGGGAGGCAGGATAATGATAATTTTACCTTGTACTGTATTTACACAAGGACCGTAGGGATCAGTCATATCACGAACTCTATTTTTTCCAACCCAAGTCTCAAATAATTTATATTGTGGCACTTATGCTAGCATTATAGCTGGTTCAGTTTTGCTGCATACCAGAAAAACCTGCCAATCATAATTAATTTTTGAAATTCAATGAGCTTTTGAGTTCTATTTTTTTCTTCGAAATTAGAAACACGAAAAATTTTTGGGATAAGTTTTTGAAATTTGCCCAAGCTCAAGTATGTTTTTTTGCGGTTCGACTTTTGATTTCTTTTCAAGTTTAATTCAAATTTATTTGCTCAGAGGAAGGCAATTGCGGTCCCCAAAAACAAATGTGCAAATGGCGCACAAATAACGTGAAATATTTTGAGTTTCGAGAGGATTTCATTTTGAAGATTTCCCAGCGGAATAAAACGTTCTAAAATATCTATAGCGTGATCTAAATTTTTTTCGAAAGATTAAAAGTCTTTTTAAAAGGTTTCTGATAATTAAAGCGCTTCAGTGTGTTGTAAATTGTTATTGAAAGTTTTTTAAAAAATTTCTAAATTCATTTTTTTTTTCGATTTTTTATGTTTCATTGACACTCCAACTTTCTGTTGGCTATGACTTCTCACTTTTTAGTTAATTTTGAGTCCGAAAGGGACTCTTTTTCCTTTCTCCCCACATCACATAATCAACACTTTTATGATGTAACGAGTGGTTTTACAAGGTTAATCATGAAGACCAAATGTGTTTGTCATAGCTTAATTAGTTCGCATGTCAATTTTCATAACAATCGGTTAATGCGAACAAAAATTTAACTCAAAAAATCGCAGGTGGGGGGAAGAAAAAGAGCCTGAAAAGGCATACATCCGACCAGGTTTTATGTACAGATATTTTAGGGCGGCATAGGTGGTACTTTGATACCTCAGTTTACCCCTAGAGTTTTCTTTGGGGTATCTATAACGCGCGAAAAACTACCCTCTGCCATAGTTCCTTTCGACTTCTCGAGTCATCGGAACAAAAATGCCGATAAGTGTCATGATTTGAATTACAGTACTAGCCAACACTGACGCTTTTTTAGGTGATAAAAGGTTAATTCGATTATGCGATTTAGGACGGATCCAATTCGCGTACCACGCCCATATTGACACAGCCGACCGCCCTTAAGCAACTTTTGAATCATCAGCACAGCACAAGCAAACAACAACAGCAATCAAATGAACAACGGAACTCAGTTAATCCGAACACTTCGAGAGCCGTGTACAATCTTCCGGTGACGAATAATAACTACGCTCAATCCTTGCTGGGGCCTCAATTCGAAGCGGGCTCGGCGATGAATTATTTGAACAAAAATCTACCAATTCATGTGAACAACCAGCCTGGAGGCAGTTCAACTATTGCAGGGCTAGCTATTATTTCACCAAGGAAGGCACATGCATATATTCAAAAGGGAAACCCGCCACCTGGGTCTAATCAACAACAAACTTTAGCTCCGTTTTCAAGGTCGAAGCTCGGAATCAACCGATCGCTTAGTGTGTTACAGCCGAACCCAAACCATCATGCGAGTAATTTAATGTATTCTTCGGCGGGTAGCTCTTCTAATGTGAACGCACAACATGTAAGTTTCACCAAGGTTCAGATGTGATGCGAATGAATTTCGAATGAACATTTACATCGCGGGAAACTAAGAGGCGATATGGTCTCCCAAATGGCTTGATAATAATCAAGTTTGTCCTGATAAGCTGTTTTTGAGGCAATGAAATGTGAAAAAATGTATCTAATGAAAATCACAAACCAGCTTGATTTTTCGATTAGGTATAGAATTACCATAAATCAAGATTTGAATTAGACTTTAAAACTCGATATCAATCGTGTCATCTTTTCTAGAACATGGATCTGAACTCTGTTTATGCTGCATTTGAGAGATCCAATGGAACCCCAGTAAACAACACGCATTCAAACGTGTTAAAAAAGACATCCTACTCCCAGAATGATCTCACAAATGTGGGAAAAGGACAACAGCAGCAACCAAGTAGGCAGATTAGAGCAGATAACAGCAACGATGCCTTCGCGACACAGTGTCGACTGAAGCAGTATAGAAGACCAATCAGGTTTGAATCACGGTCACAACTACGTTAATAAATTAAAACTAAACAGGTTAAAATGCACAGTTGTTGTTCCTTAATGTCTTCATACTGATTGAAGTAGTGCCGATTGTGAAACGTTTTTTTTTGTTGAAAGACGATTAATAGAAAATTTGAGTTCAAAAAGGGAAAACTTTGGGAACTTGACATAGTGTCTTCGATTTTTTGATGTGTAAAAAAAGGAACTTGAGTTACGCACGGTCTTTCATGTTGAATCGTTTGCTGAATGAAGTGCCTCGAGTTTCGAGAATGACGAGGACTACTCGGACACGCGACTGTTGGAAGGATTTTCCAGTCACAACCAGTCGGCACTCTTAATGGCAACGATGACAGGGGACAAGTCAGAACAGGTGGTGGCCACCCCCTCTGTGCCTCCCAGGGGGGCCACGGGGGCAGAATCGAATGGGAATGTGACTATGTTTGAGAGAGTTCCATCTGCCGCCAGGAAGTCAGAGTGAGTGTCCAAAATTGTCTTTGTCAAATAGAGTTTGTGCATGTCTATAGGATTACAACTGAGTTCTATCGAGTTACTACTGATTGGGACTAAAGTTAGCTACAGTTCTTTCTACAGTTAAGTTGAGACTAGGAAATGAGTTCGAAGATGTGGTTCAAAAGTTTCATAAGGTATACTAAGCTCAAGTTAAGCACCTTCTATATTTCGTCAAAAGCAAAATGAATAGTAGTTTGCAAAGTATGGTCGGTCGGATCCCTGGTTTTATTTTTGAACTTGCTATCAATAAATGGTGATACTTTTGCAGACCAGAGAGTTTGTCTTATTCTTCCAAATCAAAGGGAGGCAAGACTACAAAGAGAAAAGTGAAGTAAATATGTCACGTGCATGTAATTCTCAACATCCTCATCGTTTGCATGATCTTCTTGTCTATCATTGTCTTTGTTATTCTCATTCGTATTTATGTTTGCATCCCCTAAAGTGGCTCTTTTCCAGTTTCCGCCCTTTTGATTTTTTTTGAAATTCAATTTAAAAAAGTCTTTAAAATGATTTTTAATTTTAAACAGTACATCAAAACGTGTCAGCGTGAACAGGTGAACAAATTTTTAGAACATTTCTTTCATTCGAAATTTCGTATGAACAACTTCTGAACAGCTTTATTTTGTAAATTTTTGAGGGGATGGGAAACTGGAAAAGAGCCCCTAAAGTGTCTCCTTTTTTCACTTGCGAGAGCAAGTGGGTTGTAATCGGGAACTAGACTTTTTCCCATAAACAACTATTGCGCTTTCTGTTGCTCAATTTTTGCTGCTGCTAAGACATGCTGATTTTTCTGATAATTCAAACAAAACCACTTTTTGGTTCATTTGAGGTATCAATTAGTTTTTTAATATAATGTTGAAAATTGTTGATTTTATTGGACTTATGTGGTTTTCGGCCTAGTTTTGGTCGGCTGATTTTTTTTTCCAAATGCTCTCAAACTACCCTCCCAAATCTGACATTTTAAGTTCAATTGATAGAACAGGTTGGAAAGCTCCTCTGCTTAAGCTGTTACGCTCCACGTTTTTCTACAAAAAGTCGTCGCCCTCGTAAAAGTTCAATAGAAAGAACCACATGCAAAAATTTTACCTGCAGAAGTGGCGAATCCTTAAGTTGTTGTAAGAGAAATATTAGGTCCTTGGGATAATTTAAATTGTAAATGTAAAAAGTTTTACTCTGCTTATTTTATTTGTGAAACAATTAATGTTATGGGTGAAGCCCAACTTTTGAATTTTCTGAAAACCATTTCATCCTGCATCAGTACCAAAAATTCGGATAAAATAGAACAGGTACCTTCAGCTTTAGATGGGATCCTCGTATTATAATTGAAAATTGTTTTGTAATTTTACCAACTCTGATTTGGAATCATGTCATTAAGAGTAATGAGCGTAGTGAGTACTCTGATATAGGTCTTGGCGATTTTTTAAGAAATTTTTTCTGGGAAAAGTCTTAAAATTTATTCACGCTCAGTTTTGATTTTTGAGGTTTGACTTCTGATTTCTTTTCAAGTTCACTTCATTTCCGTTGTTAAAAATGGAATTTAATTGTCAGATTACCCTGCGAAATAAAAGAAAATTGCCTATTAATCAAGTTTTCCTAAATTCGGTTCTTTTTATCAAAAAAAGTCAAACATAAATTGTTCGTGAAATTGCTTTAATGGCCTATACTAGTTCTTCAAAATGTGCAAGTTGATGCTTAAAAAAACAAAGTCTTCTGTTTCTGCGTTCATTTCTTTTCCAACAGTCAGTTGGCTGTTTTTTTTATCGGCTGAGCGGGTTCGGCTTTTGTTGTATCGGCTTATTCATTTTATGTTGCGTAGTTTAACCACAGTTTTAATTTTTATGACCACAGTAACGAGGGTCGACCCAAGTTTTTCGCCTTATTTGCCGCTCGGTCATTAGTTATAAATGCTTGCTAAGGCTGTTTATGAGCCTCACCCGAGACAACGTTGTAAAAATTTCTATAGACATTTTTTTCTACTTTTTTCAGCTTAATTTTTTATAAACATTGACCTCTTGTAATGCAATGTTTTAATTGTATGCCAAGTGTTGCGAAGCTCCGATTCGCCTCTGTGTACGAATAAGTACATTTCATTCAACTAGTACAGATTTGACTTATTTTAGCGGCAAAACTAAGAGGTTACTTAGATGTGATAGCTCTCCCAAGCCTCCGAGGAAAAAGAGCCACGAGTTAGTAGGTCACACGTCTCTAAATCAAACTATTCTTTCTGTTTTAGTTTATTGCCTTACTAAGTTGAACTAAATGTAAATTAGGTCACTTTGGATAGCGGTAGAACTTGCTTACTTCGAACTAATTCTAGCACCATTTGGAGCAGATTCAAAAAGAAGAGGGGAGGGAGGTTTTGGAAGGTTATAACCCACAAATTTTGTCACCGCCCGCTACCACGAAGTTAATCGATATTTGCGCCTAAGAAAAATTTATTGGTGGTTCACTTATTTTTGTTTGTTCGGTGTTGTGCTTTTGGCGAGTAAAAACCTTGTCATCGAAATTTCTCGCATCATTCGATTATTTATGTGGGCCAGGCGATTCTAGTTTAAAAGTTTTGAGAACTAAGTGAACCATTTTCGGTTGTTGCAGGAAAAAGAAGTCAACTGGAAGCATAGGAGGACAAAACAGTAAAAACACGCCAAATACTTCTCTGTACGCGACTGGAAAAAGCAGTGGGGACCACAGAACAAAATTAAAGGAGAGTCACGACACCACAGCAGCAATACAGCTCCTAAGCAGGGAGAACGGAGGGGGAGGGGGAGGGGGAGGGGGACAGAATTATAAGAAGTCCTCGATCAAGAGTGCCTCGAGTAGCACTAACAACACTCCCACAGTTAAGAGACGCAAGAGCAGCAAGCGCTCAGGTAAGATTGAAAGTTATGGATCTCTTAGCTATTTCCCCCTTATTGTTCTTGGTCACGACTTAACACCCCTACTATAAAGAACTAAATCAATGGTTGAGCGATGTTAGTTTTGTTCCTAGTAACGAATCTCCTCCACTTTACAAAAAGGTGATAATAGTTACAGAGATCCTAAGTCATAATACTGATAATGATAATGGTGTAAGATAGCCCGTAATTATTTTGAAAGCAATGTAACTGAACTCGAAAACCATTAAAATCAAGAAAAAATTATAACTGCAAAAAGCAAAAAAAAAAGATGTTAAGAAAGTAAGTAATAGTAATACATAGGGTTACGAACAAATATATAGGATGAGAATTCGCCTTCGAAGATTCTAATTTAATCGAATGAACGAACGAGGAAGAAACAAAAAACTACTATCAAATGTAACATTTTTTGATGATTTTGCTGGTTCATTCTGAGCTAGCCATCCATGAATCTTAACTTAACTCAGGCTAGATGAAAATCTTTGTTTCAGCCAATTCTGGTTCAACAGTGAGCGCCTGAAAACAAAAGAAGATATCATCCTAGAGCCAACCATTGAAATGAAACTTGAAACTTAAAAAGTTGCTTCAATTGCCCAATTTTCCTTACCTTAGCTTTTATTGTTTTCTTCTTCATTAGACAGGAGTTGATGATGGAATCACAAATGTTGATACAAAAATCAAGATGACATAGGTTCTGACGACCATCAAGTAAATTCCTTGCTCTCCTGTTTAATTAGTCAAGCCGTTGAGTATAAACGGAGTTGATGACGAATCAACTTAAAACCCTACGTGTAGTTTGTTGTACTAAAATGCTGTTTATCTGCAGATTGTTTGTTTGTAAATATCACCTGACTGTTAAAGTGGGTTGTACATATTTGATGTAGATATATGTGCTATATATTAATTTAGCCAGCCTCGAATTTCTTTTCAAGACTTCTGAGTATACGATAGCTCGATTCAATCAATAGTGAACTTTCTGACGTTAGTGGTGTCCTGTGTTTCTTTTATTTAAACTGAACAATAACGAGTTCAGTGAACTATCCCTAATTTTGGGTTTTTAGCCAGGAAAATTTTTAAAAGAGTTCATTAAAAAAGCTAAATGAATTGGTGGCACAAGCTATAATCACGATCTGTAGTGTTGGAAAATTCATAGCATCTGTTCTCTGCTTTTTTGGTGGCCAGTGTTTTCCGTTAGAGTAGGTTTAGTGAAGCGTGTGGCTCAGAGGGAAGGACATAAAATTCCTAGCTACTTGTTGGAGTTTCAACACCGCACATAGTTCAGACTCTTATGTAGGTCGTGATGACTTTTTTAGTTTTTTTATACCGTTGTTGAAATGAAGGCTAACTCCACTATCAAACAGCAAAAGGTCACAAAAACGACCGATTTTGATTTCAATTTGCCCATTGGTCTAGTTTTCTCAAATTGGGTTAATGTTATTACACTTGCAAATTGGGTTAATGTTATTACAATATTGGTGTCACTTTTGGGGCACCTTAAAAGCTTTTTCATAACATGTGCTTTGACATTCGAATAGTCATAAGTTAACACAGTTGATGGGTTTTTAATTCATCAAATGAACCGAAAACAGTGATTTGTTTCAAACAGCAGTACAATAATGAAAACTCGATTTCAGAATATTTCTAACACTATATATACTGTTTGTCGGTTATTTAGCGTGCGTGGCTGAGTTGATAGTGCTTGAGACTCAAAATCTCTTGATTGCAGTTGGTCGCAGATTCGAATCCTACACGTAGCCGAGTTTTTGCTTATTAGAGGCTCATTTCTACTTTCTTATTTCACTTAATCAAGCTGCTTTTTGGCCGTGTTCTCGCAAGTGTTTGCGAAGCTTAGCTTCGCCTCTGCGTCAAAAAGTGTCAATCACACACTGGGCTAGAAATTCCGCGAGGTTTAATGTCATCTTATTTTTTTTGAAAAAAAAACGTTTTTTGAAAGTTGATATTTTTTTTCTCCAAAATACCAGCTATTATTTTCTTCTGGTAAAATGTGTTCATTGGCTTTTTTCCAACTGTCTGCTGGGCAATGTTTTCATTTAGTATTGATTTTTTGTTGTTCATGAGAAAAACTTAATGTATTTAATTCTAAAAGGGTTACGGCGTTTAGACTTCGCTTGGCCTGAATTCAAATATATTGTTTTGCCTATGAATGGTAGATTTTCTATAACCTAAAAAGTTTCAGGCCGCCAACAAAGTGATTGAACTTTAAAATTTCCATTGGCCAGTGAAAAATAAAGAACTAATTTATCGATCAATTCAATCGGATTTACTAAAGTTTTAATCGTTAATTCTAACAAAAACCATTAAATGGAAAACATCTTTTCTGATGTAATTATTTGAATATAACTATGAAAAGCACAAAAAAAGTTTTTGGCCGGTTTCTGTGTAAACTTTTTTCAATTTCTTTTTTTTATTTGACAGAAAAAAAACTCAATAGAATTCATAAAGTGTTTTTTTTTCGGTCTGACAAAATGTTGGCCAAAAAGGAGATTATTATCGAATTACAATTGATTTTATATATTTTTTGAGTTTTTGTTTGAAATATAATCAACTATAATCTCTTGGAAAATGTCACGACTAGAATCCATTATAATTCTTTTGATCATCCTCTTTTATAATTATAATCAATTATAAATGTCAAAAAAGTGACATAATAATCTATTATAATCGAATTTTTACGCCTAAGCTTGGATGCAAAATCCTAAACTTACTCGCAAAATCTCAAAACTAATGAAGTGTGAATTATGTTGCTCAAGAAAACATTTTCTAATAAATCTACTGATCTCTTCGGAGCAGTACACTTCGCGTAAGCCGTGGTAGTCAATCAAACAAGTTGCACGAAATGTTCCCCAGGGACAAGCGTAAATTTGGTAGAAATTTTTTTTGGAAGACTCAAAACCTAGCAAAAAGCTTCCTCGTGTTTTAAACTCAAAATTTTTTGCCAATTGATGGGTTCCTGTTAAAATATAACTTTATCTGCGGTATATCGAATCTGCAGCTTTTGCTTTCGACAAGCAAATGAATGTCCTTTTTTTAATTTTTTTGTCTGTTTCTCTGCAAATGTGTACGATATAGGGTTGAAAAATTGACAAATGCTAGATGAAATTCATTGAAAGGACTTAGTCGGTCTTTAAATTTAAGAAATGCTGTTTCCATGGCGTAAATCAGCCGATGAATTATAATTAGTTGTGGAGGTGTTCTGCAGTGGAATCACCATCTCAAACAAGAATTGGTTCTTTAGGAAACTGATGAGCTTGACTTACTCGTTATACCGCTGAAAAACAACAGACAGAAGAATTAAAAGTGTTATTTTGTCCGACATCAAAAAACGGTCATGTCTGTTTTTACGATAAAAACATTCAAAAATCTTGGGACAACATGACTGTTAATGAGAATCTTGTCCATGAGTTTGGGCAACCTTTTTTCCAAAAGTTTTTTGGACAACTTTTTTGTTGACTTTTTCGAGTATCAGGTCAAAACATGCATGAAAGTTAGTTTGTTTTTACACAAGAAGAAGCTGCTCAAGGAACCATTTTTATCCCATAAATTCAAATTCCTCATATTGATTGTGAGGATGTATCCACAACATCTTTATAACTAGTTATGATATATTGGCTGATTTACGCTTTCAAAACTGTGTTTCTGAACTTTTGGCCTCACTATGTCCTTTCAATAAATTTCATTTAGCAGTTGCCAATTTTTGAACCCTACATCTTAATTAGTTGCAGAGAAAACGACTTTTAATCTGTAATCGACCTATGTTTTGACTGAGCTCGACCTATGTTCCGTCCGACTGTGCTACATCTATTTTTCGAATGCGTTCGACCTATATTATGACTATCTCCTCCGAAATCGGATATGTTTTGACTGTGCTCGCTTTATGGACCAACTTTCTTGACTTTCTCGACTATCAAATAAAACGAGTAAATTGGCAAACTTTTCCAAGTATACTTTTCACTTAAGTTTATTGTGATGTTGCTTGATTTGAAAATGAACTATAAAAGTCAGTAAAATGCGAAACTCCTGCATCAAAAACAAACTCTTACAAAATGAGTTTCCTAAGTTGATTTTCATTTCCGAATAAAACTGGGCTGAAAATATTGGTCTGAAAACTGATATTTGACAACAAATTGGTAGAATTTTGTTTTTCTTGCCACAGGAATCCTTGAATTTCAAAAAATTAAAGAATTCCCTTAAAAACTTTAGTTTTGCGGCAAGCAAATCTCCTCAAATGATTGTTGTTGATTGCAGCTTCCTGACGGAGGTCTTTTTTGAGCAGAAATTTTTTGCTTTGTTTTGAGTTTAAATAATTAGAACCTTCAAAAAAAATAATTTTGAAAAAATCTGGTTGGGCTCGACCTATGTTTCAACTTCTCTCAACCTCTGTTTTGAATTTCTCGACAGAAATAAGGTATGTTTCGACTGTGCTTGAACTATATGTCGACTTATTAACCGGAATTGGTTTTTCTATTGTGATCGGCTTATGCTTCCATTCTCTCGACCGATATCGCGTATGTTTTTGGCTTTGTGCTCGACTTAAAATTCCTTCTCGACCGGGAAGTTTTAGTCACAAAACTGCACATGCTCGGTTTTCAAAGTCCAAACGTAAGTGTAGCACTCGAACCGGAAAAAACGTGAAGAAAAAATCATTCGTTTGCTTTGTTCAATTTTTCGTCGAAATCGAAAAATTGAACTAATATGTCTTATGACTGTATATAGATAGCAAATTTTCCGAATCACTGTGTTTTCGCACAACAAAATTGACATCAAATTAGTCTCAAAAACTATTTTAAAACTACAGTAAAACAAATTTGAGTGGTCATTTTTCAACTCATTTTTATTTTTGTTGTGCTGCTCTAATTCTTCTTAGCAATTTTGGAACTCGTGTTTTCTCCGCAATAAATTTACCTGGTCGTTTATCTGACAGTGAGTCGTCCCGAAAGCGTTAAGTGCTTTCTTGAATTACAGAGGTATGTAGCCAAAGTTGCATAGGCTTCAAAGCTCATTTATACTTTTTTACATTTTTTTTGCAATATGCTGAATTGATTTTCATGTTGATATCAAGCAAAGCTCGATTCTTTAGTTGTTTTGGCAATTATTTCTCACACCACGCGGAGGAGAGAAAAAACATGATTGCTCATACCAGAGCGTAATCCTGAGCGTTATGAATACTAGTCAGTTTTTTTAAATTTAATAATTTGATGAAAACTCAGCATAAGATTGAACTGAATGTGGAGAAAACTTTCGCTTTTTCCCCACCGTAAATATTTGAGTAGAAACACACCAGTAGAATTTGCGTTGCGATATAAAGTTTGCGTCTACTGACAAATTGCTGAGACATTTCTTAGATTACATACATGAACACGGAACTAACTATTTTGAGAGCGGATTTCCTCTCAACTAACAAAAGAAACAGGAAATGTAGCCCTTGAATAGGCTGACCGTTAACAAGATAAACGAGAAAATAGCGCGCTTTAGTATTCCAAACTTTACCAGATTGAAAATTTTCAAGTACTCATAATTTAGTACAAAAAGTATTGGAATTCAAATGTTATCACTAATATTTGTACGCTGGTTGGAAATCAAAAGACGTTTTTCAAAATATTTTTGATTTTTGAGCGTGGTGTAATGAAAAGATATGACAAAAATCTAATACTTCGGATAATAATCGACAGTAACGGTAAAATAGGCAAAATTTTTTGTCGCAAAATAACTAGAAAAAAAGCGAAAACAAAATTCAAGAAAATTCAAATATATTTTGTCCTCTTTTTTGGTAAAAGATTTCAATTTTTAAGTTTTTTATTACAAAAATGGCGCTAAAAACCGTTTTTCTTGAGACTGAGGCATGTTTTTGAAAATTTTATAAGTTAAATTTTTTTTGGTATCTTTAATCTCTGCACACCCATTAGCACCAGC